GTCGCCACTCAGCTCCACAATTGATAGGGCTTTCAGTTAGGATAGGTAAAGGAAAAAGGACACCGCACTAGGAGGAGAAACTATGGTCGGGGGAACCGGACTTCTGGTTGGCTCCAGAATTGAATGAGGGGCTTCCAGTTAGGGCCTTTTGTGGCTCTTTGAGTGTTTAAGGTTGCCGACCCCGGTATAGGGTTTCCTGCCTGAGCAGGGGGTTGTACTAGAAGACCTCTAAGGTTCCTACCAACTCTCTACTCTACTCTTACGCTACTCCTACCCTACTCTCTACTCTACTCTGATTAGTTTCACGCTCTGTTCTTCCAAAGAGGTAGGATCTTCAGAGGCCATCTAGTCCAACCTCCAGTGGGAGGCTCCTCCCCCTTTTCTCACCCCTGCTAGAAAGAAGCATTTCGGAGGCTGCCCCAGCTCCTCCCCTTCCCTGGATCCAATCCAGTGGTGGGATTCAAAATTTTTTACTACCGGTTCTGTGGGTGTGGCTTGGTGGGCATGGCAGGGGAAGGATACTGTAAAATCTCCATTCCCTCCCCACTCCAGGGGAAGGATACTGCAAAATATCCTGAGAGCCTGAGTGGCGTAGGCGGCTAACGCCTCCTACTAAGGCAGCATTTAACATCCAGCTGCCTGCAATTCTCACCAGGTTTGTGGGGGCAATAAGCTGACTTTGTATAAAATATACAAAAGTATGAAGGCTATTGCTTAACGCATTATAAGCCGCCCTGAGTCTCCGGAGAAGGGCGGCATATAAAAATAAATAAATAAATAAATAAAATCCCCATTTCCTCCCTATCAGCTGAGACTCTGGAGGCAGAGAAGAGATGGGGGCAGGGTCAGTCAGAGGTGGTATTTACCGGTTCTCCGAACTACTTAAAATTTCCACTACCGGTTCTCCAGAACTGGTCAAAACCTGCTGAATACCACCTCTGATCCAATCCCCCCACCCCTCCAGTGGTGAAGTCAGAGAAGGGAGCAGAGTAACTGTTGGAAGGGTCCTTGGAAGTCTTCTAGAGACTAACCCCCTGCTCAAGCTATACCATCCAAATGGTTCGCCAATCTCTTCTTGAAAACTTTCAGCGTTGGAGCACCCACAATTTCCGGAGATGAATTCTTCCACTGATTAATTGTTCTAAGTGCCAGGAAATGTCTCCTTAATTCTAAATTGGATCTCTCCTTGAATAATCTTCCATCCTGTATTTCTTATCCTGGGATGTGGTTCAAGCCCAGTAACAGGAGAAACTTCCTTTCCTGGCCAGGGAGAAACTGATGCTTCTTTGAGGTATAGAGACTCACCTTGGAGGAAAAATCACAATGGGGCAGATCTCACCCCCAAGTCCTCTATTCTCTCTGTCCCGTTACTCTCAACTGGGCCTCCTTCTCAGCCCCTCACAATTTGAGCCCCTTCCTTGTGGTTCCCTCTTCTCCCCCAGGGCCCTTCCTCTTCCTCCCCCAGCATCCTCCCACCTTCAAAAATCAGTTAGCCCCATCAAGATTCTTAGGGGCTCCATTGTGTTAAAAACACATTTAAGCATCCCTGGTTCAAACAGGAAGAATAGAAGACCCCGATGCAGAAGGAAGATGCAAGACGGGCATGATGGACACACTTGGGAGGGGTGGGCAGCCAGCCCTCATCTCGGTGGCTTTCCTGATGAGAGAACATATTGGGACCTGAGGGTAACGGTTTGTTCTCCCAGCTTGCAGGTTGGTTCCCGAACATTTCGTTACCAAGCTAGGTAATATCTTCAGCAGAGTTGAGGGCAGGGGTGAAATGCTTCCGGTTCAGACCGGATTGCCTGATCTGGTAGCGATGGCGGCGGGTGGTTCGGAGAACCGGTAGCAAAAATCCCTGCGCCCCCCCCCACCATGCCCAACTGAGCTGCACGATCATCAGAGGCTTTTTTTTTTTAACTTTTAAAAGCATTTTTCTACAACCTCTTCCAACGAAAAAATGCTTTTAAAAGTAAAAAAAAAAAAAAAGCCTTGATGATTGCGCGGCTCAGCTGGGATTGTCAGAGGCTTTTCAAAGCATTTTTTTCTGCAACCTCTTGGCTGAAGTCTCTGACGGTCCCAGCTGAGTTGCCTGATTGGCAGAGGCTTTTCAAAGCATTAGAAAAAATGCTTTGAAAAGTAAAAAAAAAAAAAAAAAAGTTGGCCACGCCCACCCAGTCACATTACCCCCCCCCACCAAGCCATGCCCACAGAACCAGTAGTAACAAATTTTCACCCCTGGTTGAGGGATGTCAGTATCGGTGTTGTTTATAAGGGCTTTCAGGTGGGGGAATGTCAAGTGAGGATCTCAAGTGACAGGTCTTGTGGAGTCAGCTGTGAGTCACCGGTGAGTCTTGTGATGGGTCTTGTTCTTGATCCTTACCTAGGGTCAGAGTCGTTGGGAAGTGAACTTCTGATGGGGAAATCATGTAGGTTGGTTGAGAGTTGGTGCTATCTCTGGTTAGCTGTGCGGTTGATTTGGATTCTGAGGATTTTGTAAGCTGGTTGTATGTCAGTGTGTCTATTGACATTGGGACAGTGGTGAAATCAAAATTTTCTTACTACCGGTTCTGTGGGTGTTGCTTGGTGGGTGTGGCAGGGGCAGGTTACTGCAAAATCTCCATTCTGGGGCCAGCCAGAGGTGGTATTTGCCAGTTCTCCAAACTGCTCAAAATTTCTGCTACCGGTTCTCCAGAACCTGCTGGATTTCACCCCTGCATTGGGACCTCTTGGCAGTCTGTCTGGCATGATTGCTGGCTTCAGTGGTCTTTTCAAGGTTTTAGCCTCACCTCTTCCCCCAGATGAAGCCTCCACGTTGGCAGAACAGTGAAAGGATTGGCCTGTTTTGTGGAATTTTTGTGATATTTTCAAATAGAATAGATTAACAGAGTTGGAAGGTCTTCAAGTCTAACTCCCTGCTCATGCAGGAAACCCTATACCATTTCAGGCAAATGGTTTTCCAATCTCTTCTTAAAAACTTCTTAAAAACAGTGTTGGAGCATTCATAACTTCTGGGGGCAAGTTGTTCCACTGATTAATTGTTCCACTGTCAGGAAATTTCTTACTTTTAGGTTGCTTCGCTCCTTGATTCATTTCCATCCATTGCTTCTTGTTCTACCTTCAGGTGCTTTGGAAAATAGCTTGACTCCTTCTTCTTTGTGGCAGCCCCTGAGATATTGAAACACTACTATCATGTCACCCCTAGTCTTTTTTTTCATTAAACTAGACATACCCAATTCCAGCAATCATTGTTTATATATTTTAGTCCCCAATTCCCTAATCATTTTTGCTGCTCTTCTCTGCACTCTTTCTAGAGTCTTAAGAACTTTTTTTACATCGTGGTGACCAAAACTGGATGCAGTATTCCAAGTGTGGCCTTACCAAGGCATTATAAAGCGGTATTAACACTTCACGTGATCTTGATTCTATCCCTCTTTTTATGCAGCCTAGAACTGTGTTGGCTTTTTTGGCAGCTGCTGCACAAATACATCCAGTTCAATCTTTCAATCAAAGATGAGAAATATACTTAATAAGGATATACCAAAAGTTTTGTTAAAGCAAAAAATGCAAAATCACAATCATTCCAATAAAAGCAGCTTTCCCAAATTTGCGATGCCACAATTCCCTAAAATGTCAACAGGATCAAGCTTTCTAATCACCTTGATATCACAAATTCAGGTATCTGCTTTAACTAATACCGTACCACTGAAAGCCATGAGAAATGCAATGGGTTGGCAGTACAACCTAGGGGGAAAAAATCCCTTGCAGTTGAATGCTATATCTTGATCATAAACAAAATATCATTTACGGAAAAGAGGACATAAAAAGAAATAGCTTGATTGAACGCCCTTTTTTAAAATTATTATTATTATTATTTTTTGCTCACTAGGAACACTGTTGGATCAGTAAAACCATTATTAAAGAGGCAACAGTACAATCATAAACTCACTGACTCCTCTTTTGCTTTCATGATATTTGCACCAGAGAAATACGCAACTAAGCAGGCATATACATGTAAACATTTGGAAGATTGTCTCAGATAAACAAGTTATGCAAACCAGATTATATATTTAAAAAAGCAACAAATAGCTTAAATACTTTACTAGTGTTTAAATCCTAATATTTTCAATACAACTAGAGCTAAAATATGTTTTCCCATCTTAATTTACATATACCACTTCTCCACGAAACTTGGAGTCTGATCCCAGACTCGCCTCACATGTTACTTCTATCTAAAGCTGCTTGACCAGATACAGCATTTGAGATTTTTTAGAGTAAAGAGCAGGACAATTTAGTAACAGATTTTCTAGAATCAGACCTAACTAAATAATTCTTCTGGAATTAAGAAACGTATCCTGGGAGCTCTTCGCAAAATCATTACATTTATTCAGTTTCTCCTACGGCAGACCACAGACCGTACTGAACTTATTTTTGCATTCCATATCTTTATATTGTTTCATATCACAGTAGATCCTTTTACAGAAATTAAGGACACTTTGATCCCTAAAGGCATTTCTCTGATGTGGGTCGTATTATGGGAAATCAGTTGATTGCTTTTCAAACACCATGCATGGATATTTTCCCCCTCTCAATTCTTTTATAAGAAGGGTTCACATTTCACAAAAAGTCTTTCCACATTGCAAGCTAACTCTGCGCAGAGCCTGCAGTTCAATCCTGATGGGTTCAAGGTTGACTCAGCCTTCCAAAATCAGTAAAATGAGGACCCAGATTGTCGGGGCAATATGCTGACATTGTAAACTGCCCAGAAAGTGCTATAAAGCACTGTGTGCCACTATATACGAGTCCAAGTGCTATTACTATTCCATACATTCCTAAGATTTCTTCCCTGTGTGGATCCTCTTATGGGATGTAAAGTGAGTTTTCAACCTGAAATTCTTCCCACATTCCGTGCACTGATACAATTTCTTTCGTGTGTGCGTACTAATGTGATAAGTAAGGGAGCTGCTTGTACTCAAACGCTTTCCACATTCACCGCATACATATGATTTCTCCCCGGTGTGGACCCTCTTATGAGAAATAAGGGAACGGCTGTAACAGAAGCCCTTTCCACATTCCAGGCATTTATAGGGTTTCTCTCCTGTGTGGGACCTTTTATGATAAGTCAGCTGGCCACAAACAATAAAGGTCTTTCCACAGTCTGTGCACTTATAAGGTTTTTCCCCTGTATGGATCCTGTTATGGGAAATAAGCTGACTGCTTTGGTTGAAGCTCTTCCCACACTCTAGGCATTTATAGGGTTTCTCACCTGTGTGGATCCTTTTATGGGAGTTCAGGTAACTGCTGTTCCTGAAGCTCTTTCCACACTCTGTGCATTTATAGGGTTTCTCTCCTGTATGAACCCGCTTATGGGAAGCAAGCGTACTGCTTTGACAAAAGCCCTTCCCACAGTCTATGCATTTAAATGGTTTCTCGTTTGTATGGATTCTTTTATGAGAAGTAAGATAACTTTTTATACTGAAACTCTTTCCACATTCTGGGCATTTATAGGGTTTCTCTCCTGTGTGAATCCTTTTATGAGAGTTCAGATAACTGCTGTTCCTGAAGCACTTTCCACACTCCATGCATGTATAGGGTTTTTCCCCTGTGTGGAGCCTTTTATGGGAAGCCAGCGTACTGCTTTGACAAAAGCTCTTCCCACATTCTATGCATTTAAAGGGTTTCTCTCCTGTGTGGATCCGTTTATGAGAAGTAAGAGAGCAATTCATACTGAAGCTCTTTCCACACTCGATGCATTTATAGGGTTTCTCTCCTGTATGGATTCTTTTATGGGACATAAGGTCACCACTTTGTCTGAAGCTCTTTCCACACTCCAGGCATTTAAAAGGTTTTTCTCCAGTATGGATCCTTTTATGAGAAGTAAGGGAACACTTTACACTGAATTTTTTCCCACAGTCTACACATTTATAAGGTTTTTCCTGGGGACGGATCATTTTATGGGATTTCAGCCATTCTCTGTTCCTGAACCTCTTTCTACATTCCATGTATTGATAGGGTTTTTCTCCTGCGTGGATCCTTTTATGAGCAGTAAAGGATCTCTTTACATTGAATCGTTTTCCACAGATCATGCACTTATAGGGCTTTTCCCCTGTATGGATCCTTTTATGGGAAATGGGATTACCTTTCCACCCAATCCTCTTTACACCGTCCACACTTTTGTAGGGCTTCTCCTTTGCCTGGATAATTTTCTGTGAAACAACATTATTACTGCTGAAGCTCTTTTCAATTCTGCAGTGGTTACTAACGTTGCAATTTGCTTTGAATCTTTTTCTGCTTCCTCGACAATTTGCTGTACTGTTTTCTTTGGAATCATGTTGGGTCAGGAAGCGATCCATTTCTGCACATTCAAGAATGGATTTTTCTCTGCAATGGTAAGATTGTTTTTTCTCATGTTTTCTCCTTTCCCACTTATTTGCAGATGTCTCTTCTGGTATTTCACTTTTGATTATTTGCAATGGAACTGCACTTGGCTCTTGGTAATTTTCATTCTTCTCCACATGAAACGCTTGAAGGGGGAGAAAAATAAATTAGAAAAATCTACAATGTACAATTTGCTGCCCCCCAAATCTAAATTTATCTATTACTGGGCATCTGCAGAGAAAGCAATGTGGGAAATAACATCACTAATATTGGTTATTAACTTAAAAGTTTGCCTGCATGCTCAACACGTCACTATTGGCGGTTAAAATTTTAAAGCAAAACCCTTTAAAAGGTTGTTATCATGATGTGACACATATACCGGTACTTTTTTTCTTTTTACATATCATGCACCCAAGTTGCAACAACATACAACACAATATTGTTGCAAGAGAAAATATGGTTTTGATTAAGACAACTGATAAAAGCAAAAACATTCCCCTGTAATTATCTTCCCGGTAGCTCAGCAATATTAATACAGGTCCCAAAGAAAATATCATGTGAATCCTTGTCAGAATAATTGGTTACGAAACTAATTTGTTTCATGTGGTACTCTGAATTCCAGTCCATGCAGGTGGACTGGAATTAATATGAATCAAAAAATATTAAGAGATAAAATGTTAAAAGAAGATCTGCACAGATCTCTAAGCTGTAAACAAATTTTCTTTGCTCTGACTTAATTTTTCTTCAGAGGAACCTTTACCTAAAAAGGCCACAATCCTTGACATTTCCAGCATGACTTCTTGATGAAGGGATTTCTGATTGGGATCAAGCAGCGACCACTCTTCGCTGGTGAAATGAATGGCCACCTCCTCAAAGGACACAGGACCCTAAACAAGGAAGAATTACTCTGAACAAACTCAGGAAGAATTTGCAAAAACCTCCTTTAATCTGCAAATGCTAAAAGCATACAGTTACAATCCTTGGACATTTCTCTAGATGGACTCAAAACGTTATATGATAAAATGGGCAGAATTCACAGCCTACGACTGACAGCCATTAGGGCATGGTTAAAGAGATCATTGTCAATTTCAGAAAGGGCAGGCACAGCCACACACCTCTGTGTATCAATGATTCACCTGTGGAAGTGGTTAGCAGCATCAAGTTTCTGAGTGTGCAGCTAACGAGTAGGCTAGCTTGGTCGCTCAACAGCGAGACACTTCACCTGCATTTTCTGCATCGCATGAAAAAAGTACATCTTCCTTCCCCTGTCCTTACCACTTTCTATAGAGGGACGATTGAGAGCATATGGCTTTACTGTCTGGTTTGGAAGCATTACTGCTTTGGACAGGAAGGCGGTGCAGAGAGTAGTGAGGATGGCAGAAAGGATTATTGATAGTTCACTTCCTTCTATCCAGGCCACAGCATATAAGCGATCCTTGAGCAGAGTACACAGTATTGTTTGAGACCTTAGACATCATCTTAATGGCCTGTCTTTTTTGTTGCCTTCTGGGAGGAGGCTTCATTATATCTGAACATCTAGAAGAACATCTCTCTCCCTCTCTCCCCCCCACTCTCTCTCATAGGGGAAAGAGGAAACTTCAGACTTTACAAGGTTGATACTGTGTGTGTGTGTGTGTGCGTGCGTGCGTGCGTGTAGCATGTGTATATGTATGTTATGGGTAGAGCAGGCAACAGAATTTCATTTTTAATGTGCGCCAGTGTTCTTACAGTAAAAATGACAATAAAGGTTAGTTTATCACCTTGACTGATTGTGATGACTTTCAGTGCCAACAACCTGCCTTGATCAAGTGGCAGGGCCTTAGTCACACAATCTACCAATGGCACCAATATTTCACCTTCGCAAGAGATAATCTTGCTTTTTGTTTTTTGTCTGCTATATGGAAGCAATATGGAATCTCGAATAGTTTGAATGAATTAGATAAGATTTTACAAGGCCCAGAACAAAAAATGATAACCAAATTATATAACTACTTACTTAGATATAAATTACTGGAAGAAACAGTAAAAGAAAATATGATAAGATGGGCCAGGGACATAGGGCACAACATCCAACTGGCAAACTGGGAGAAATTGTGGAAACAGAACATCAAAATGACAAGAGCCATACCCTACAAAGAAAATCTCATAAAAATGTTTTACAGATGGCACCTAACACCAGCCAGACTAGCCAAAATATATCCAAACACCTCCCCACGCTGTTGGAAGTGCAAAACAAAAAAGGGGACATACTACCATGCCTGGTGGAAATGTACAAAGGCCCAACAATACTGGAAGGACACAAAGGAAATTATTGAAGAAATAATAAACCAACAAGTAGAAAACACTCCAGAATTTTTTTTATTTGGAATGATAACAACACAACACAACAAAGAGACAAAATACCTCATCATACACATCTTGACAGCAGCACGGTTACTGTTTGCGCAAAATTGGAAATCAGATCAACTCCCAACCAAAGACAAACTAATCTCGAAGATAACAGAATGTGCCGAAATGGATAGACTGACACTAGAACTCCAAGATAAAGAAGAAAGTGAATTCTATCTTGTATGGCACCAGTGGTATCAATGGCTAGAAAAGAAAATCAGTACAAATATAGATGAAAGAAAATAGGGTAGAAAAAATAAAAAACCGGAAATAAATAAATTAAGAGGAGATGCAAGATTATTTCCAATCTAAAACATCCAAATTGACAAAGTATTACTTATATATTAACTTATAAAGCAATATATATTCTGATGATGATCAAAACATATATGTAAAGTTTGGTGTGGGTAGGTTGGTGGTGGGAACTTGTTTGTCTTTGTAATGTCTTTGTATTTTTTGTATTGTCTTTATATCTCTGTTTAAAACTCAATAAAAAAAAAAAAAAAAAAGAGATAATCTTGCTTGAGAGGCAGGACTAGTGTGACTGATCATAACTTGAATTCTAATGTCCGTATGCTTCACTTGGGAACAGCAATATCATACCTTTCGCCCCAAAAAGACATTGGAGGTCTCCCATTATCATCTTTTTCTTTCTTACCTGAGTTGAGGAATCAGGGACTCTTTCAACTCCACTAGTACAAGGAGATGATTTGATGAACAGCAGTGACTCCATTTTATTCACTGGGAGGGAGGAGACATTATAGAAACGGGAAAGGGATCAGCTCCATCTTTTCTAGTTTGAACACACAACTTAAGATTTCTTCCTGTTCTGCAGAGGAAACCTCCATCTGATGGTACCACACTATACCTTCAGAAAAAGAGCACAATCCCACCTCACACCAAGGAACAAACTCAGTTGGACTGCTCTCCTACCTTTTGGGCAGTAACAAGTCCAGTAAGCATACTCTTGGCAACCAAAGAATTCACTCAACCATTGAAGATTCTCCCCCCAACCCCTGCAGCTTGAAACCAACATGGTCTATATAACAGAACAATTCATGAAATTCTGGCACTGCAGGAAATGTCTGCAAGGACAAATGGTACCGGTGATGATCCGGTAGGGATCTGTGTCAGAATTTATTCAAAATTATTTAACAAGAAAGGACAAAGACAGGTTGCTTCCCTCCCCAGCAGTGAGAACAAAGAGAAGTCTCTCATGATGGTGGATCAAGAAAGCAACCCAGGGCAATCTCCATAGGTCTTCGGTAAAAGAGGATTCATTAGAAGGTAGTGCATGGACCGAAGGGAGGAATTTTCTTCATGGGATTTAAGTCTTCTAGCTTGAAGAGGGAGAGCTATATCTTTCTTGCTTGGTCACCTATTAAATTCTATAATTACACATGAGAAGACACAGGGAATTAAGGGTAACTAAAATCTTTCTGGAAAACCTCCAATCGGGTGAAAGGATCTTCCCTTACCTAGTGAGGCAACCTGTTAACTTTTATTCTCAGGGATCTTTAAAGAGATTTGCCCGATCCAACCAATTAGGATCTCAGAACCTGAAATATAAGCAAAGAAAAGGAGTTAAGAAGACAGGACATAAGAGGATCTATTCTCGATGTTCATTTTCTGCCCACAATGTGGCAAAACCCAGTGGGGATGGCTGACACCAATGGGAGAATTGCTCCAAATGAGATATCCTCTAAGAGTCTAAGAAAACACAGGAACAATTTTACTAATGAGATTCTCTAAACATCTGCTTGCATTATTAATCTTGAAAACTCTGGGAGATATTTAAGAATTCAAGATATTAAGGATTTAAGAATCCAAGCAGATGAAGGTCCCTTCATATTTCCCATGTGGAGCATCTCTGACCTTCCTTCTTTTCCTTTGCCAGGATCAGCAGGAATCTTTCGGCCAATGGCATCGCCGGGGGTCTCCAAAGGTCCTTCCAGTCTTGGAATCTGAATCTGAAGATGTTATTGAGTGGTTCTTTTAGGTTTCCTCTCTCCTGCCCCCCCTCAATGTTCTCCCACTCCCCCATTGTTGCATCTCTTGCATGCACAGCCAAGAACAGTTATGGGGCGGGGGTCTCCGGCTCCTACCCAGCTTCGGGATGCACAATCCAGCTGTTTCCCTCCCTGGGGAGGATTTGGGTGACAGGACCACCACCCCTCCTTGCCTGCCCCCACAGATTCCCAAGGAGCAACTCACAGGCTGTCCCAACCAACCAGGCAGAGTGGAGCATGCGCAGTAGCTGTCATTCGACAGCGAAGAGAGCGCCCTCTGCTGGGAACCAGGGGGCAGCGTCTGGACTTGGGAAATCACCACGATGGGGAGGCGTGGGGGGGGACACCCTAGAGGCCATCCAGGCCGGCCTCTACTCGGGGTGGCATCTGGCACAGGGTTCCCTGTGCAGAAAACCACCCATAGGAGGGGACGCCGGTTCTGACCTTTAGGGAGCCCATCGAGAGCAAATGCTTGCCCACCCCGCTCCCCGCTTCGCTCAGGCGGAGCGTGGAGGATGGGAGGGGGAGCGGGACGGGAGCGAAGAGGAGGGGTGGAAAGCCCTCCGGATCACGTGAGCTTGACGAGCCAATGGCGGGAGAGAAGCGCCTGACAGGTTTGGGCGGGAAAACCGGCGGCTTACCTCAGCCGCTTTTCTGCTGGGCGCGAATTTCCCTCCTGGCTGAGGAAAGACTGACTGACTGACTGACTGACTCTCTCTCTCTCTCTCTCTCTCTCACACACACACACACACACACACACGACAAAAATGTATATGTAATAGTACAGGTATTCTCTCACACACACACAGAATACAAAAATGTATATGTACTAGTACAGGTAGTTTCTCTCTCTCTCTCTCTCTCTCACACACACACACACACAGACACACACACACACACACACACACACACACACACACACACACGACAAAATGTATATGTAATAGTACAGGTAGTCACACACACACACAATACAAAAATTTATATGTACTACTACAGGTAGTCTCTCTCTCACACACACACAAAACACTGCCACAGAATACAAAAATCACTCTCTGTCTCTCTCTCACACACACAGAAGACAAAAATGTATATGTAATAGTATAGGCAGTCACACCCACACCGAGAAGAGAAAAATGTATATGTAATACCGGTAGTACAAGTGGTCCTCTACTTACAACAGTTCATTCAATGAACTGTTACAACAGCACTGAAAAAAAGTGACTTAGGACCTTTCTTCACACTTATGACCTCATGGTTATGGGATTTACATTTGGATGCTTGACAACTGGCTCACTTTTATGACGGTTGCCATGTCCCAGTCATGTGATCCCCTTTGGCGACCTGACAAGCAACATCTACGGGGGAAACCAGATCCACTGAACATTAGTTATAACTAATATAACAACTGCAGTGATTCAGTTAAGAAAGGTGGCAAGAAAAGTTGTAAAATGGAGCAAACTCACTTAACCAATTTCTCACTTCACAACAAATTTGGAGCTCAATTGTGGTTGTACTTTGAGGACTACCTGTATACTATGCTATTAAATATTAATAATGTTATAATATAGTAAATACTGCATGATTGAATGTGAGGTAGTACAAGAATTTATTTAGCTTGCAAGACAGTTTTTTTCTTTACATCTTGCCTTTATTACTTTTACAAATAATTCAAGGGGAACATAACTCAAGGGGAACAAGGCAAATATCTCCAATACACTTCCTCCTCCTATTTTACCCCACAACAACACTGAGGTGGGCTGTGTTGAGGGACTGGCACAGTCCTGGTTAAAGCAGGACTTGAACTCAAGGTTTCTTGCTTTTTAACCTGCTGCCTTAACCACTAGACCAACTGGAGGCCCATGGACCAGATGCATCCTGTGCAGGCCACACGCACCACAGCTCTGTGGATGGGAAAACGTCGCAAAACGTCACGTGATGGCAGCATGATGAGGTAAGTTTGACACCTGTGAACTAGATAGTTGCTAGGCATTGCTTCTGTCACAACAACACCCCCCTCGAAATGTCCCTTTCAGGACACTCGTTTAACACACAACCGGCCCCTGAAGTTGGGGCTGCAGACTCAGCCTGGAGACAGATGAAGTGGCAGAGAAGATTCCAACTGGCGCTCCTACTTATTCCTGGCAAGACAACTACAAAGTACCCCTCCCTCCAGACCCCCTCCCTATTCCATTTCTAACCCTCTCAAGAGGGGGTTTGTGGGGAGCATTTCATGAGTTCTGCTGGGGTCCCCTGTTGCTGTTGATGAGGGCGCTGTCCTAGATCCTGGAAGCGAGGGCAAAAGGAATCCCCCTCCCAGGTAAGGAGGGGTCTGGGAAGCAACATTGAAGGAGGCAAGGGGCTGTGACTCACAGGAGAGCAGTTGGAGGAAAGGATCCAGGGCACTGGAGGAGAGAACTTCCGATACTCCTTCCTCCTGACCACACCTCTCCCAATGCAATTCCCTCAAGTGGCAAAGTGGGAAAAGGGGTTCAGAGGAGGTGGGAGGAGCCACATTCTTGGTGTGGGGAAGAGAGAGAGGAGAGAGAGAGAGAGAGAGATGCAGTTATGAGGGAAGCCCCATTCATATGATTGTCTTTGTGGCTCTTCAGAGGTGGATTCGACTCCTGCCTTTTGGGCCTCTCTTCTCCCCCAGGAGTCCCCCTCCACCCACAAGAGACCCTTTCCAGTCCTCTCGAAGCTCTTGGGGACCCATCACATCCAAACGCATCCACATGTCTCCGATTCAGTCCCCAATCTAAATGGAACAGGGCCACAGTTGGGAGGCAGTCCCCTCAATTCAACAGCTTCTTAAAGCACAAATCCTTGTCTACCACTAAAAGGCCAAATGTTGGTTCAGACTGTAGAAAGCAGCAAAAGGGTTTCAGTTCTGTGGTTGCCCTTTGAGTCCTCTGATGCAAAGGAAGAAGATAAAATTGGCCAAAGCACAATCAATGCTGCATGGATTATCTCCACAGATGTAAAATTACATAATTAGGAAAATTCTAATAAAAATGCCAAGATTTTATAATGAGGAATGTACTCAAATTTTATAGGCTACAATGTCTCGTTTGCTTCTTTCATAAACCTACTTTGCTAATTCTTTTCTCATTCCATGCTTTTCTATGCATCATTGTGCAACATGAAACTGAGTCGCATCTGAACTCATTCCACCTCCTTCTATCACTTTCTAACATTTTATTCTACTCTCCCCACTCCCCCCGTAAGTTCTCCTACATATTCATCTTGTTTCTTAATTTAGCTGTTTTGTTAATGTGTATAAAGTAGGGCATCATTTACCTTGCACAACAACTGTTTCCAATAATTTATTAACATTTCAAAATGAGAAAGATGGTTAATAATCAGGAAATATGTTTTTAAAAAAGCTATATTGTTAAAAAACTCAAAGTCACAATCATGCTACTAACATTTTTCTCCAAAACCATAGCAACAGTACAATTGCTTAGCATGTCAAGTATGACTCAACTTTCTGCTCAACTTGATATCACAAAATGAAATAGAGGCACTAAAGTGACATTTGAAAATCTTGAGAAATAGAAAATATGGTACTGGTTACTTTAATCTGCGAAACTGAACAGTGAATAATTTAAATCAAGCAATATTTCCTTTTAAAAAATATTCCTCATACGGTGCACTGTTGGATTAATAAAACCATTTATAAAGTCCCTTTTAGCTGGGTTAATGCAATTTGGCACCAGACTAGCCTGTACATCTAAATATTTGGGAGAGATTTCCACTTGCAACTAAATTGATGCACATACAGTACATATGCACAAAATAATAGCTGAAATCCTTGCCACATGTTTAAAGAAGGCCACTATTTTCAACACAATTAGAGCTAAAATGAATATATACACATACATTTTCCCTTGCTTTGCTTGCATACACCAGGTCTTCACAAAGCTTGAAGGCTGATCCGACTCACTTCAGATGTTGATTCAATTTCTGCCTAAATAAAGCAGTTTGTTACCAAGCCGAGGTTGTGAGGTTTTGCAGTAACGATAGGGACGATTATTTAACAGATTTTTTTTTGAGGAGACCATAACTGAATAGATAATATCTCTGGAAGTAAGAACTCTATCCTGAGGGCTTCCAAATCCATACATTTATTCAGTTGCTCCTATGGTGATCCTCTGAAAGAAGGAAGACTGTTCACCACATTTTTCACAGATGTTATTCTTTTTACACTCCATATCTTTAGATGGTTTCTTATAAGAGTGGATCCTTTTACACAAATTAAGGACGCTTCAGTTACTAATGCCAGTCGGCATTCTATACATTTTTATTCCCCCCCACTTCCTGGTGTGGATCCTCTTATGGAAAGTAAGGTGACTTTTTAATCGGAAGCTTTTCCCACATCCTGTGCACCGATGAAATTTCTTCCGTATGTGGGTACTAATATGGTTACTAAGGGACCTGCCTGTACTCAAACTCTTGCATACATATGATTTCGCATTCATTGCATACATATGATTTCTCTCCTGTGTGGAACCTGTTAGGGGAAGTAAGGGAATGGTTATCACTGAAGCTCCTTCCACATTTTAGGCATTTATAAGGTTTCTCTCCTGTATGAGTCCTTTTATGGTAAGTCAGAGACCTACTGGCAGCGAAAGTCTTTCCACAGTTTGTGCACTTATAAGGTTTTTCCCCTGAATGGACCCTGTTATGTAAAATAAGTTGACTGCTTTGGTTGAAGCTCTTCCCACACTCTAGGCATTTATAAGGTTTCTCTCCTGTGTGAATCCATTCATGAGAAGTAAGAGAACTCTTTATAGCGAAGCTCTTTCCACACTCCAGGCATATATAGGGTTTCTCTCCCATGTGGAGCCGTTTATGGAGGTTCAGGTAACTGCGGTTTTTGTAGCTCTTTCCACATTTCATGCATTTATAGGGTTTTTCTCCTGTGTGGACCCGTTTATGAGAAGTAAGGCTACTGCTTCGGCTGAAGCCTTTCCCACAGTCTAGGCATTTATAGGGTTTTTCTCCTGTGTGGATCCGTTTATGAGAAGTAAGAGAACTGTTTACACTGAAGCTCTTTCCACACTCCATGCATGTAAAGGGTTTTTCTCCTGTGTGGACCCGTTGATGACAATTGAGAGCACTGCTTGCCCTGAAGCTCTTTCCACACTCCATACATTTATAGGGTTTCTCTCCTGTGTGGATCCTTTTGTGAGAAGTAAGAGAAGTCTTTATCGTGAAGCTCTTTCCACACTCCATGCATGTATAGGGTTTCTCTCCCGTGTGGAGCCGTTTATGGAGGTTCAGGTAACTGCTGTTTTTGTAGCTCTTTCCACATTTTATGCATTTATAGGGTTTTTCTGCTGTGTGGACCCATTTATGAGAAGTAAGGCTACTGCTTTGGCTGAAGCCCTTCCCACAGTCTAGGCATTTATAGGGTTTTTCTCCTGTGTGGATCCGTTTATGAGAAGTAAGAGCACTCTTTACACTGAAGCTCTTTCCACAGTCCATGCATTTATAGGGTTTCTCTCCTGTATGGATGCGTTTATGAGAACCAAGGGAACTGCTTGTTCTGAAGGGTTTTCCACATTCCGCGCATTTATAAGGTTTTTCACCTGAATGGATCCTTTTGTGGGATGTCAGTTGATTTGTATTTCTGTAGCTCTTTCCACACTCTCTACACTTATAGGGTTTCTCTCCCGTATGAGTCCTTTGATGGGAAGCAAGGCCACCACTCTGCCTAAAGCACTTCCCACACTCTATGCATTTAAAGGGTTTCTCTCCCGCATGGATCAATTTATGCGTAGTAAAAGAAGCATTTGTCCTGAAGGTTTTTCCACAGTCTACACATTTATAGGGTTTTTCCCCTAAATGGATCCTTCTATGGCATATCAGGTAACTACTAGTGCTGAAGCTTTTCCCACACTGCATGCATTTAAAGGGTTTTTCTCCAGTATGTATCCTTTTATGGTAAGTAAGGGAATTCTTCCTACTGAACCTTTTTCCACAGTCTACACATTTATAGGGTTTTTCCCCTGAATGGATCCTTCTATGGCATATCAGGTAACTACTAGTGCTGAAGCTTTTCCCACACTGTATGCATTTAAAGGGTTTTTCTCCGGTATGGATCCTTTTATGGCAAGTAAGGGAACTCTTCACACTGAACCTTTTTCCACAATCCACACATTTATAAGGTTTTCCCCCTGTATGGTTGCTTTCGTGGGATTTCAGACACTCTCTGTACCTGAAGCTCTTTTCATATTCTAGGCATATTTCTCTGGTGTGGATCTTTTTATGCGAGGTAAATGAACTGTTCAAACGGAATCTTTTACCATAGTCTAGGCACTTATAGGGTTTTCTCCCTGAATGTATTCTTTTATGAGAAGTTAAATTACCTCTCCACCCAATGCTTTTTCCACTGTCCACACCATTGTAGGGTTTTTCCCTTGTTTGGATCATTTTATGTGAAGTAAGATTATTACTGCTAGACCTTTTTCCAGTTTTGCAGTGGTTATTGAAACTGGGGTTTGCTTTGAAACTTTGACATTTCCCTGTATTTTCTTTGGAATCACGTTGGGTCAGGAAGTGATCCATTTCCACACATTCAAGAATAGATTTGTTCCTCCAGTTTTGCTTCTTTTCGCGTTTCCTCCTTCCCCACTTATCTGTAGATGTCTCCTCAGGAATTTCAATTTTGATTATTTGAAATGGCACTAAATTTGGCTCTTGGTCAGTTTCCTTCTTCTCCACATCAAATGCTTGTGGGGGAAAAACAATAAATTAGAATAATCTACAACGTCCACGTTGGTGTCCCTATGCATAGTTTTATCTATTACTGGGCGTCTGCGGAAAACAACAAGGGAAATGACAGCATGAATATTACTTATTAACTTAAAAGATTAGCATGGCTGCTCATCTACCCTCATTCTTGGCAGTTAAAAATTTAAAGCAAAAACACATCTTGATATCTGGACGTGACACACAGATTGTGTCAACTATGACACACCCAACTTTCATTCAATAAGACAACGTATGTTACTGCAACATAAAGGAAGACAAAATATGTTGCTGAGTAGAACAAGCAAAAACAGCCTCTCCCTGATCATCTTCCCAATAACTCTGCGGTAATGACCCAGGGCCCAAGGATAACCACAAGACTGAATGTCAACACTTCCTGGTCACCACACTGATCTTTCTCTTCTAAATAAAATTGTGCTACTTAGAAGACCGTGAATTAATGTAATAGAAAAAAAGAAGAGATGAAATCATTTTTAACAAGATACATACAGATCTAATTTGTAAATAAAGTATCTAGCGACAACTTGCTCTGACTTAAACTTTCCTCCAAAGGAACCCTTTGTTGTGGCTCGTCAGCGGAGCTGGCAGCAGAGTCAGACAGTGAGGAGGTTAAGGAGGAATTTGGGCTAGTCCTGGGGGCTAGAGAAAGCTCGGACAAGGGCTCTGCTTCGGAAACATTGAGGGAGTTAGACAGCAGCAAGGCAGAGGAACAGCTGGAGCCCATTCCCAGTGTGCGCATGTGCAAAGCTGCTAGAAGAGAAGAACAACTCAGAAAGCAGGGTTGACTCGAGAGTAAAGCCACAGCTTGGAGGTGATTGGCTCCTCCCATAGGAAATAAGAGGAGCAGGGAGTAGGCTTTTGCAGGAAACAATTCGTTCATTCCGTGACTGAGAGACTGTTCCAAGTTTTGTCTTGTACTGCAGTTGGAAACAAGTTACGTGGCAACTTGCCAAATGAGATAAGGTGTGTTGAGAAATATTCCTTTGAAAAACTGTTTGGACAAACCTTGCTGACTGTGAATGAAGGTAATTCAGTGTCGTGTAAATAAAAGAGGTTTTGCCAATAATTCCTGCCTCCTCCTTGTTAAGGGAGCCTAGATCAGAACACCCTTACCTAAAGAGGCCACCATCCTAGATGTTTCCAACATGACTTCTTGATGCAGGGCTTTCTGGCTGGGATCAAGCAGTAACCACTCTTCACTGTTGAAATGGATGGCCACCTCCCCAAAGGACACAGGACCCTAAAAGAAGGAATAATCCCTGTGAGCAGACTCAACAAAATTTGCAAGATCTCCTTCAATCTGCAAATCCTAAAAGCACAAATGTCTATGGAGATTGTCAATCATGCATGGTCCTGGTTGTCCTAAAGGTGCTTTTTTCAGGAGGCAAATGGAGTTTGTGGTTTTTCTGTGAAGACATTTCACTTCTCATCCAAGAAGCTGAAGACGTTTCTTAGATCAGAAGTGAAATGTCTTCAAAAAAACCTGAAACTCCTTTTTTCCTCTTGAAAAAAGCATCTGTGGGACTAAAAGCACAAAATGAAAATTCTCGATTGGACATTTGCCTAGTTAGACTCAACACATTATATGATAAAAAGGGCAGAATTCACAGCCTATGCCTGACAGCCAATTAGAGTATGTTTTATCACCTTTACTCAGTCTGCTGGCCTTCCATGTCATCAGGCTGCCTTCATCAAGTGGCATAGCGTGCCTTAGACACACCATGAGTGCCCCCAACATTTCATGATATTTGCAAGAGATTCTGTGGAATTTGTGTTTGACATAGTAACCAAATTTGGGGTTCTTTGAAGGATCAGCCTTGCTCAGTCATGAACTTTCATGAAAATACTATGAGAATGCACTTCTAGGCATCAAGATGCAGATGATACGCAAAGCAATTTCTGCTTCTCCTGTTTTTACCCCTTTCCCCAACGATAGGAAAACAAGATTATACTTACAATATAGTAGATTTAGCCTAATTACTCATGTGTCCTTTCTGTTTTATTTGGGATAGGCAACATGAACTGTCATGTGGCATTTTTTGAAACCAGAATAATATAACCACTGAGGAGTTCTATACATTTCCAAATCTTTGTTGAGAGGTGGGCCTAGTTTGACTGATCGTAAATTTAAATTTCTAATTTCCTTGTTGTGCTTTGCTCAGGAATAGCAGTATCATATGTTGAGTCCTCAAAGGAAAATAGAGGTCTCCTAATTCTTCCCCATATAAGATGCTAATCTCTTCCTACCTGAGTCGGAAATCCAGCGGCTCTTTCAGCTCCACCAATAGAAGGAGATAATTCAATGAACAATGGTGACTCCATTTTGCCCACTGAGAAGGAGAGACAGGATGGAAACAGGAAACGGATCAACTTCATATTTTCTACCTTGAAGGCACAACTTTATATTTCTTCCTGTCCTGCCCAGGAAACCTCCATTTTTGCATCTTCTACACACTCGCTTTCATAGGCTCCATTATGGTAGCCAAGAATAAAAGGAGAAGACCAAACCCACCATATGCTGAAGAACAAACCTCAGTTAGATTGTTCTCCTAACCTTTTGGAGTAACACGTGGAAGTTTATACTCTTGGCAACCAAAGTATTTGCTCAATCACTGTAAATTCTCCCCCCCCCCTCTCTGCAGCTTGAAGCCATCATGTTCCATGTGGAAGAGAAATTAGTGAAATTCTAGCAACCCAAGAAACATGCCTGCTAGGACAGGTATTGTTTGAAATGGTCCAGCAGGGAACTGTGTAGGAATTTAGTCAAAACTATCTCTTAAGGAAGCCCAAAACCAGGTTGCTCTCTTCCACATCACTGAGAACAAAGAGAAATCTCTCATGATGGAGGAGGAGACAGAATGCAAGTCAAGATGGCCCCTATAAGAGTCGGACTTCTGCAAAAGGCCAACCATAGCCTTGTTCTGAAGGGAGGGAATTCCTTTGTGTGCCTTAAGTCTTCTAGCTTGAAGAGGGAGTTCTTTCTTATTGGGACACTTTCTAGTAAGTCCAACTACTAAGACATGAAAAGACACAGAGAATTAAGGATAACTAGAATCTTCCTAGAAAGTCTCCAATCCAGTGGAAAAGTCTCCCCTTACCTAGTGAGGTATCCTGACCTTGACTTTTATCCTTGGGGATCCCTCTGAAAGAGAGATTCAATTCAATTCAATTCAAATCTTTATTGTCAGTGCACAACATATGTACAATGAGATTGGTTGAGCTCCCTCAGTGCACACACACACCCCAACACAATACAACTGACAGTGAAGACAGAAAATCCCTAACCCAATAAATCAGGAGATAGATCAGGAGAAAGATTTGTGCGATCCACCCCATTACTCCCCATTCCTGGAAGGACCTCAGAACCTGAAATACAAGCAAAGAAGGGCTGTTAAGAGGACAGGACACAAGAGGATCTGGGTTTTATTTTCTGCCCACAAAACCCTTCTGTCCATCAGTGGCGATGGATGAGACCCCATGGGAGAATCACTCCAAATGAGATACTCTTTGGAAGGACACAAGAACAATTCAGCTAATGAGTTTCTCTAAAGATCTATTTGCATTATTAATCTCCAAAACCCTATCAGGGAGCTCCGTATTTCCCAAAAGAAGCTTCTCTGACCTGTAGCTCTTCCCGTTTCTCCTTTGCCAGGCTCAGAAGGAATCTTCCAGGCACTGGCAGCGCCGGGCAACTGGTCTCCGCTGGCTCTCTAAGGATCCTCCAAGCCTTGGAAACTGAATCCGAAGGAGATGTGAGCATGTGGTTCCTTTAGGCTTCCTTTTCTCCTCCCCCCGCCCCATTCTTGGATCTCCCCCATGCACAGCAAAGAGGGGTGGGTTCCCTCCAAGCCTTGGGATTCAGAATCTCCTCCCCTCCCCTGGGGAGGATCTGGGGCGCAGGACGCCCCTCTTTCCCGCCCCCACGGAGCAACTCACATCCAGAAGAACCCGACCTCGCAGACGAAATCGGGCATGCGCATTGGGCTCGTCAGTCGGCAGCCAAGAGAGCGCCCCCTGCTGGCAACTGTGGCGAAATCGCGGCCGTGGACACTGCCTGGATGTCCCCACTATGACTCAGAGTGCAAACCCTTAAAGGCCAAAAATATCTTCCAAGTTGTAGAAAGAGGCAAAAGTCTTAAATTTAATGTCCCATGAATTATCTCCACAGTTGTAAAATTACATAATTAGGAATATTATGAAAATGCCAGGATTTTATCATGAGAAATGTTCCCAGCTTTTAATTATTTGCTTCATTCGTTTAAAAATCTACCATAGTAATGTTTTCCCATTCCATGGTTTTCAAGGCATCATTGTGCAATGTGAAACTGAGTCAGATGTGAACTCATTCCACCCGCTTCTAGCACTTTATTTATCTAACATTTATTTATCTAACATTTTATGCCACACTCCCCCCTCCGTCTACATATTTATCTGTTTCTTCATTTCGCTGTTCAATGTATATAAAGTAGCGCATCATTTACATTGTGCAACTGTTTTGAATAATTTATTAACCTTTCAAATTGAGAAAGGAGGTTAATAATCAGGAAATATGTTTTTTAAAAGGCTGTATTAAGATAAAAAGCACAGTCACAATCAATACTAAGTTTTTTCTGAAACCATATCAATGCTACGATCCCTAATATGACAAGTCTGATTGATCTTTCTGATCAACTTGATATCACAAAATGAAATAGAGACACTAAAGTACATTTGAAATCTTGAGAAATAGAAAATATGGTACTGATTAATCTTAGAAACTGAAAATGAAGATTTTAAATCAAGAAATTTAAGTTGTCTTTTTTAAAAAAATATTGGTTATATGGTATAGTGTTGGATCAATAAAACCATTTTTAAAGTCCCTTTCAGTTGGGAGAATAGAACGGAACGGAATGGACACCCAATACTACCAATGGCGACCCTATGGCACACGTACAAGAGATGGCACACAGAGTCCTCTCTTGGCACACGCATCGGGTAGCAGCTCTTCCAGTTTCAGGCACTCCACATGTGTGAAGACCACTTACTGTTCTGGTTTCTGGGACGCACATGCGGACGAGCAGGCATTCTGGTTTTGGCATTTGGTGCTGAAAAGATTCACCAACACTGCCCTATACCAGTGGTCAGCAAGCGGTGGTCCACGGACCACTGGTGGTCTGTGAGAAAATTTTGGTGGTCTGCGAAGAAATTTTCATATTTTTGCATTTCTAATATTACACTCATCCTCAAGCTATCGCCCCTGGGCCAGATATGGCCCGAGAACAATTAATCTGGCCCGCGCCCACATCACCCCGCCCACACGCCAGTCCCCACTCTTAAGGCCGAGCGCAAACCTCACCTTGAGTAGAGCGGTGCAAGCCCCACGAATTGGAACTGGAAGGTAAGACCAAGAGCTCGCTGCGCTCAACCGAATGGATGCTTGTGGGGGGGGTGGGAGGTTCAGCCACCTTTCGGGCCTACATCTCTCCTTCTGCAAGGCCTCTGGGTGGGACTGTAGTAGTCACAGAATTGGCCAGTTGATCATCCCGAAGCAACTCCTCCACCAGGGTGCACTAGGTGCACCAATCTGGTGTCTGCAATGGAGAGCAAATTCCGGCTGCTCCCTAGACCAAATGTTGTTTACCAAGCAGCAGGAAACAAGGACTGTCTTGTGCCCCAAATATACCAAGGTGGAATCTAGATGCTGCACTACAGCAGAGAAGAAGCTGGATTTTGCTCTCCATTATTTTTTTAATTTGATTTATATGCCGCCCTTCTCCGGAGCTCAGGGCGGCTTACAATGCATTAAGCAATAGCCTTCATACTTTTGTATATTTTTATACAAAGTCAGCTTATTGCCCCCACAAACTGGATCCTCAATTTACCTACCTTAGAAAGGATGGAAGGCTGAGTCAACCTTGAGCCTGGTGAGATTCAGACTTACAGTAATTGCAGACAGCTGGTGTTAATCACAATGCTATTAGTCTGCTGAGCCACCAGGCCCATTGCGGACACCAGATCGGTCCCCTGCATGCTCTTGTCTCTCGAGGAGCCCGACCAAAGTTTCCTGCACCGCTTCAGGGAGCGCTCCTTGAGAAACGAGAGCTTGCAGGGGGCTGATCTGGCATCCGCAATGGAGTGCAAAATTGGGCTGCTCCCCAGACCAGTCACCGTTTACCGCTCCGAGTCCCAAGCGGCAGGAGATGAGGGCTGCTTCGCACCACTGAACGGTGCAAATATACCAAGGTGAATGCTGATGCCATGCAAATTCAAGTCGTGCTTTGCTCCCGCACTTCTTCCGGCCCTTGTTGGTGCTCTGCACACCTCGATCTCTCAGGGAGATGCTTGACTTTCTCTCAGCCCCAAGACACTCGCTGGCCCATGAGATGAGAAAAAGAGAGAATGAGAGAGAAAGAATCAGAATGAGACAGAGAAAGAGACAGAGAATGAAAGAGAAAGAGACAGAATGAGAGGGAGAATGAGAGAGAGAAAGAGACAGAATCAGAGGGAGAGTGAGAGAGAATGAAAGTGGAGGAGCTGCTCCGGGATGACCAACAGGCCAGTCCTGTGAGCGGGCCTGTGAGCTCTGGAATATGGGACTGGCCGTGGTGGGGCTGGAAATCTGTGCCCTGGGGTGGCACGTGCAATGTGCAATAAGTAAAAAGGAGCGCAGCCCTCGCCGTCCAGAATGAAATAATGGTGTTGTTGTGGTGGCGGGGGAGGGAGCGGTGCAAGCGGGCAGAAGTGGCTGTTGTGATGGCTGGAAGCTGCGGGAGCGAGGCACTACTTTCATTTGCACGGCAACAGCATTCCACCTAGGCATATTTGCGCCAGCCAGTGGCGCAAGGCAGCCCTCGTCTCCTGCCTCTTGGGACTCGGAGCAGTAAATGGCGTCTGGTCCAGAGAGCAGCCGAATTTTGCTCTCCATTTTGGGCGCCAGATCGGCCCCCTGCAAGTTCTCATCTCTCGAGGAGCACTCCCTAAAGCAGTGCGGGAAACTTTGGTCAGGCTACTCGAGAGACAAGAGCTTGCAGGGGCCAATCTGGTGTCTGCAATGGAGAACAAAATCCGGCTTCTCTCTGCTGTAGTGCGGCATCAGGATTCCGCCTTGGTATATTTGCGATGTAAAGCAGCCCTCGTTTCCTACTGCTTGGGACTCAAGAGCAGTAAACAGTGTTTGGTTTTGGGGAGCAGCCGGATTTTACTTCACAAGATTTTGATTCTATGCCTCTGCCTGTATTTGGGAAAGATGGAGGGAGGGTGTGGCTGAGAGAAGGTGGGAGGTCTCGACCAACTGGTCATGGCCAGGTGCATGGCTGGGTTGGCGCAGCTCCCTTGGGCTGTGCCTGTGTTGGCCGGGCAGGGTTAAGGAGGGAATCCAGGGGTCTCTGGTGGGTGGGAGGGTCAGCTTGTCCAACAGGATGAGGTGAAGTGAGGCAGGGGTTGGGGCAGCTACAGCTGGAAACCCGTTGCCATCATTTGCTCTTCCCCCTTTGTATGTGGGAGGGGAGAAAAAGTTTCCGGCTGTAGACGCCTGCCAGTCCCTCAGTTGGAAAATGTTGACTCCAGGCCCACTGCCACCACTGGGCTGGCTGTCAAAGCAGCAAACAGAGGTGGGGGGGGGGGAGGAACATGTTACAGACCACTAGATGCACTAACTCTGCTCTCTATTTTGGGTTGTGGTTTGAGAGCAGGTTGCTGCTAGTCATCTTCTCAGCCCCCCCCCCACCCTTGGCCTGCATGTGGAGTGTTCCATTTGCCCACCTGACTACAACAGTTGAGTGCGTCAGGTACACGACAGGGTTGCTCGAAGCAGACCCAGCAGGGAGCTGGGCAGGGAGCAGTGCTTCCACACCCGCTTCCAGACTCAACACGCGGCATCCAGCTGGGCTTCCTCAAATTGTGGAAAGTGGTGGGGTAGGAAATGGTGCCTGTCCCAAGGCTGTATGAAAGGGGCACCATTTCAGGCAGTGCCCTGTCCACTCAGCTGCTTGCACGGAGGGAAGCCCTGCTACCCAAGAGCCGCCCCATTTCCTGGGCGCCACGGCTGAGCTGCACCCTCAGGTGCCACTTCAACGGGGAATTTGGCTGTAACTCTCAACTCTGATTGGAGATGAGTCAGGGGGGCTGCAAGAGAGAATGCTGACTTCATTCCAGGGAAGTGACTGCATAGTCGGGGGCTCCGTCTAAAGGAGCTGCATTCATTGGGTAGTGTTCCGAAAGTGCTCAGCAGATGGGGCAGAGGCATGCGATCCCAACTGGGTTTGGGGAGTCATGGTGCCCATGGGGATGCAATCATCCCCACTCGCGGTGGCCGCCTTTTGCCTGCTGGGAATGGGCATGCTATGTAACCGCTACTAGAGCCTTTCTAGCTGGCTGCTTCGCCTCCTTTGGGCTGGGCCAGCCTGTTGCTTCGGGCGGTGGCGGCAGCGGCCTAATGGACCTGCGCAAGTTGCTGGAAACCACGATGGTGCCAGGGTGTATGATGGGAATGCACTCCATATATGGGGCAAGGGTAAGAGCCGCGAGGGAGAGAGATGACAGAAGCAAAGGAGCTGATGATATCTGGCAGCAGCCACCCCATGCAGTCCTCACCGTGCCTTGGCCTGTGGTAATGACAGAAGCCAGAGGCTGAGGCACAGGGGAGAGGCATGCGGTCTAACCTGCTGGATGCACCGGGAAGCCACCTGCCCTATCCCAGCCAAATGGGATGGAGCAGGCGTGCTCAGTGGTGCGCATCACGTGCCTCTCCTCCCACCCTCCCCAACTCTGCCTGCTCCTGGTGCCAACAACTCAGGCATTTTCTTGCAAGTTCCATTTTATTCAAGATGTCATATTGGCACATCTGGGAAAACTCAATCTGAAAGTCCCCCCGGTTTCCCCCAGCCAACAGAAAGTCAGAGTCCCTTCCCCTGCACCCACATGTCTGTCACATGGTCCATTCAATTCACTGTACCAACTGGAGATGTTTCCCAGTCACGCTTCTCCAGGTGCAGGCTGAACGTCCTTGACTCACAGAAAAAAGAATGATGTTATGGCTACATATCTCACCGAAACGCCATCCAATCCCCCTCCTGTTTTCCCACACTACTAAGTGTGGCAGCCCTGAAGATTGAAACAAAAAGAGGGCTGACAACATTTTTCTTTAACAAACATAACTGCTTAGTAAACAGTGTATTTTCTGGGCCAATTTACTTCTACGTAATAATAGTAATATTATTATTCACTTATACCAACTTCTAATTTCTACCTCTATTGTCTAACCATTGATAACACAAATCCCATGTTAAAAAACATTGCGTCTTCTTTGTCCTTTATCTTTAATGTTAACCTATCCATTTCTGTACAATCTAGCATTTTTCTAATTATATTTTGGTCTGTAGAAATTTCCTCATTTTTCCAGTATTGTGCAAATTCAATTCTCGCTGCTGTCAAAACATGTAGTATTAAATATTTGTTCCCTTTCTCATATTTTTCATGTATTATACCTAACAAAAATATTTCTGACTTTAAACGTATATGTTGCTTTAACGTTCTTTCTAACCATGTGTGTATTTTTGTCCAATTTTTTTTTTGCCTTTTGGCATGTTCACCACATATGGTAAAAAGAGCCTGGTATCTGATTACATTTCCAACATTTGGAGGACATGTTTTTAAGCATCTTGGCTATCCTTCCTGGTGGCTAAGGCCACATTTTATACAGGTTTTCCTTATAGGTAGTCGCTATTGTCAATTTATATTTTCTATCCCAAAGTTTTTGCCATCTATCTAATTCTATGGTATAGCCAAAGTTTTTTGCCAATACTATCATTGTTCCTTTCACTTGTTCATCTTTCATTTTAAGGCTTAATAGAAAGCTATATATTTTCTTTATTAATTCTTCATCCGTCATGAATACTATCCGGTCAAGTGTTGTTGGCTCTTTATAGAAACCATGTGTCTTTGCATCTTTCTCCTACCTCCATCCTATTTGCAGGTGTGGCCACCATTCTAGATCCACACCTTGGTTTTGTAGTTCCTGTTTTGTTTTCAGTTCCCCTTCCTCATTCAGAAGGTCTTTATATGTTACAGTTTTTTCCAGGTTTACAACATTTGGATGTATCAGTGCTTCCATTGTGGAAAGCCAAGATGGTATTTTCATATAGTTTTTTGCCTTAAAATTTTCCCATACTAAGAGTAGAGCGTTTCTTATATATCTATGTAATAAATATAACAGAAAGATAGAAAATATCTATGTATTTTATTCTTTTCCTACCACAAAAAGGCATGCCATCCCAATCAAAGATCATGTCCCTTCAACAGTCATAGTCTTCTATGTCTTAGATGTATCCATTCTTTTACCCAAGTAATAAAGCTCCCAATCCGGCAACCCAAGGTCTGCATTGTTTTTAGATTTGTGCAACCTTTTCAGTCTTATTCTTGCTCTTTTTTATTCCCTAATGTTTTCCGGATGATTGTATTTAGCTCATCAAAGTTTTTCTCTAATTTTATAGGGAATGTTTGGAACAAAAAAACTACCTTCGGCAGGATATTCATTTTATGGTTATAAAATAGACTCTGATAGACAGTTGCAAGGTTTTCCAGTTCTTCATGTCCAATTTAATTTGTTGTATTAATCCTTTATAGTTACCTTCTGTAATTGTTGCACATCTTCCTGTTAAGTATACTCCCAAATATTTAACTTTCTTGACTAACTGAAAATCTATCTCCTTTGTCAATTCATTTTTCTGTTTCTTCTTAAGGGAAATTAGTTTATTTATTTATTTATTATATTTCTATACCACCTTTCTTCCGTAGGACTCAAGGTGGTGTACAGTCAAGAAAAATATAGATACACAAACATCATAAAATTGCTAATTAAAATTATTATTATAACATAGTTTGGCCCAATTAAATAGAACGTAAAATTAGATAACATTTTAAAAACATTCACATGTTCATATGTTTAGCCCCGTCCGTTGGAACATCAGGGTTTTGAGAGCACAGCGGAAAGCACGGAGATCAGGGATATTCCGTATCTCCGGGGGCAGTTCATTCCAAAGGGTTGGAGCCTTCACAGAGAAGGCCCTCCCCCTGGGAGTCGCCAGTCGGCATAATTTGACTGACGGTACCCTGAGTAGTCCCTCCCTGTGAGAACGAACTGGTCAGTGGGAGGCTATTGGTGGCAAAAGACGGTCTCGTAGGTACCCAGGTCCTAAGCCATGGAGCGCTTTAAAGATGATAACTAACACCTTGAATCGCACCCGGAAGACCACCGGGAGCCAGTGCAGCTCGCGTAGGAGAGGTGTTACATGGGCGCAACGAGCTGTGCCCATAATCACCCGCGCGGCTACATTCTGGACCAGTTGGAGCCTCCGGGTGCTTTTCAAGGGGGCCCCATGTAGAGAGCATTACAGTAGTCCATATGGGAGGTGACTAGGGCATGAGTGACCGTGCGCAAGGCGTCCCGATCCAGAAACTGGCGGATCAGGCGAACCTGATAAAAGGCACCCCTGGCCACGGCCGTCAAATGATCTTCTAAAGATAGCCGTGAATCCAGGAGGACACCTAAATTGCGGGCCCTTTCTGTGGGGAGCAAGATCTCATCCCCAATTGTCAGTGATGGTACCAGCTGACTATACTGGGACGCCGGAAGGCACAGCCACTCGGTCTTGGAGGGGTTGAGTCTGAGCTTGTTTCTCCCCATCCAGATCCGCATGGCCTCCAGGCAACGGGACATCACAGCAAGGGCATCATTGGGGTGGTCTGGGGTGGAGATGTATAGCTGTGTGTCATCAGCATACTGATGAACACTCACCCCGAAACCACGGATGATCTCGCCTAGCGGTTTTACATAAATGTTGAACAGAAGGGGCGAGAGGACTGATCCTTGCGGCACCCCACAAATAAGGTGCTTCGAGGTCGACCTCTGCCCCCCTGCCAACACAAACTGCGAACGGTCAGAGAGGAAGGAGGAGAACCACCGAAGCACGGTGCCCCCTATTCCTAACCCCTCCAGCCGGTGCAGTAAGATACCATGGTCGATGGTATCAAGAGCCGCTGAGAGATCTAATAGGACCAAGATAGAGGAGCAACCTCTGTCCCGAGCCCTCCAGAGATCATCAACCAACACGACCAATGCCATTTCCGTGCTGTATTGTGACCTGAAGCCCGACTGGAACGGATCCAGATAGACAACTTCATCCAAGTATCGGGGTAGTTGTCGCGCCACCACACTCTCAACAACCTTCGCAACAAAGCGAAGATTGGAGACTGGACGATAATTTGATAATATAGCCGGGTCCAGGGAAGGCTTCTTGAGGAGGGGCTTCACAACCGCCTCTTTCAAGGCGGCGGGAAAGATACCTCACTCAGAGAAGCATTTATAATCCCCTGGAGCCAGCCTCGTGTAACCTCCCGGGAGGCCAGTACCAACCAGGAGGGACACAGGTCCAATAAACATGTGGCAGTGTTAAGCTTGCCCAGAATCCTGTCCACGTCCTCAGGAGCCACAGAGTCAAACTCTTCCCAGATAACGCTCTCAAGACCTACCCGTCTCCTCCCCTGGATCTACCCAATCACAGTACAGGCCTTCCCGAATCTGAGCGACTTTATCACGCAGGAATTGTACAAAATCCTCAGCTCGACCCTGTAAGGGATCTTCCCGTACCCCCACCTGAAGTAGGGAGCGGCTCACCCTAAACAAGTTGATTGCTATCCACAGGATAGCATGGGTTGTTTCTTGAGAAGGATTCTCTTTCACAAAAACTCCTTCCGCATTCCATACATTTCTATTTCCCTCTTTTGTGGATCCTCTTATGGACAGAAAGGCTACTGTTAAATCTGAAGCTGTTCCCACATTCCAGGCATTTATAGGGTTTCTCTCCTGTGTGGGTCCTTTTATGGTAAGACAGAGACCTACTGGCAGCAAAGGTCTTTCCACAATCTGTGCACTTATAAGGTTTTTCTCCTGTATGGATCTTGTTATGGTAACTAAGTTGATTGGCTCGGCGGAAGCTCTTCCCACACTCTCTACATTTATAGGGTTTCTCTCCTGTGTGGATCCTCTCATGAGAAGAAAGAGAAGTCTTGCAAGTGAAGCTCTTTCCACACTCCATGCATGTATAGGGTTTCTCTCCCGTGTGGACAATTTTATGGCGATTTAGTCCACTGCTGGTATTATAGCTGTTTCCACACTCCATGCATTTATAGGGTTTTTCTCCTGTGTGGACCCGTTTATGGGTAGCAAGGTCACAGCTTTGCCTGAAGCCCTTCCCACAGTCTAGGCATTTATAGGGTTTTTCTCCTGTGTGGATCCGTCTATGAGAAGTAAGAGCACTCTTTACACTGAAGCTCTTTCCACACTCCATGCATTCATAGGGTTTTTCTCCTGTGTGGACCCGTTTATGGGAAGCAAGGGTACTGCTTTGGGTGAAGCCCTTCCCACAGTCTAGGCATTTATAGGGTTTTTCTCCTGTGTGGATCAGTGTATGACAATTAAGAGAACTGCTTCCCCTGAAGCTCTTTCCACACTCCATGCATTTAAAGGGTCTTTCTTCTGTATGTATCTTTTCATGGGCTGTAAGGGAACACTTTGTTGTGAAACGTTGTCCACAAATCACACATTTATAAGGTTTTTCCCCCGAATGGATCCTTTTGTGGCACATCAGGTAATTACTACTTTTAAAGCTCTTCCCACATTCTATGCATTTAAAGGGTTTTTCTCCAGTATGTACCCTTCTATGGGAAGTAAAGGAACCCTTCACACGGAACCTTTGTCCACAATCCACACATTGGTAAGGTTTTCTTCCTGTATGGATCCTTTTGTGGCATATCAGGTAACTACTAGATGTGAAGCTCTTCCCACACTGTTTGCATTTAAAGGGTTTTTCTCCTGTGTGGACCCGTTTATGAGAAGTAAGAGCACTCTTTACAGTGAAGCTCTTTCCACACTCCTTACATTTATAGGGTTTTTCTCCTGTGTGGATACGTTTATGAGAAGTAAGAGAACTGTTTACACTGAAGCTCTTTCCACACTCCTTACATTTAAAGGGTTTTTCTCCTGTGTGGATCCGTTGATGACAATTGAGAGCACTGCTTGCCCTGAAGCTCTTTCCACACTCCATACATTTATAGGGTTTCTCTCCTGTGTGGATCCTTTCGTGAGAAGTAAGAGAAGTCTTTATAGTGAAGCTCTTTCCACACTCCATGCATGTATATGGTTTCTCTCCCGTGTGGAGCCGTTTATGGAGGTTCAGGTAACTGCTGTTTTTGTAGCTCTTTCCACATTTTATGCATTTATAGGGTTTTTCTGCTGTGTGGACCCGTTTATGAGAAGTAAGGCTACTGCTTCGGCTGAAGCCCTTCCCACAGTCAAGGCATTTATAGGGTTTTTCTCCTGTGTGGACCCGTTCATGAGAAATAAGAGCGCTCTTTACACTGAAGCTCTTTCCACACTCCATGCATGTATAGGGTTTTTCTCCTGTGTGGATCCTTCTATGAGAAGTAAGACCACTCTTTGCACCGAAGCTCCTTCCACACTCCATGCATGTATACGGTTTTTCTCCTGTGTGGACCCTTCTATGGGAAGCAAGGGTACCGCTTTGGCTGAAGCCCTTCCCACAGTCTAGGCACTTATAGGGCTTTTCTCCTGTATGTGTCCTTTTATGGGATGTAAGGGAACACTGCATGCTGAACCTTTGTCCACAATCCACACATTTATAAGGTTTTTCCCGTGAATGGATCCTTCCATGGCACATCAGGTAAATACTACTTTTGAAACTCTTTCCACACTCCTTGCATTTAAAGGGTTTTTCTCCTGTGTGGATCCGTTTATGGGAAGTAAGAGCACTCTTTACACTGAAGCTCTTTCCACACTCCTTGCATTTATAGGGTTTTTCTCCTGTGTGGATCCGTTTATGGGAAACAAGGGTACTGCTTTGGCTGAAGCCCTTCCCACATTCTAGGCACTTATAGGGCTTTTCTCCTGTGTGGATCCGTTGATGACAATTAAGAACACTGCTTCCCCTGAAGCTCTTTCCACACTCCATGCATTTATAGGGTTTTTCTCCTGTATGTATCCTTTTATGGTACGTAAGGGAACTCTTCATACTGAAACTTTTCCCACAATCCACACATTTATAAGGTCTTCCCCATGAATGGATCCTTCTATGACACATCAGGTAAATTCTACTTTTGAAGCCCTTCCCACATTCTATGCATCTAAAGGGTTTTTCTTCAGTATGTACCCTTTTATGGGAAGTAAGGGAACTCTTCACACTGAAACGTTTTCCACAATACACACATTTATGTATCTTTTTATGAGAAATTAAATTACTGCTTCTTCCAATGCTTTTTCCACAGTCTACATCATTGTAGGGCTTCCCCTTTGCCTGGTTCTTTTTATGTGAAATAAGATTATTACTGCTCGAGCTTTTTCCAGATTTGCAGTGATTACTAGCATTGGGGTTTGCTTTGAATCCTTTTCTACTTTGACATTTCCCCGTATTTTCTTTGGAATCACGTTGGGTCAGGAAGTGATCCATTTCCACACATTCAAGAATCGATTTTTGTCTCCAGTTGTGATTCTTTTTATGTTTCTTCCTTTCCCGCTTATTTGTAGATGTCTCTACAGATAAGGAATTTCAGTTGTGATTATTTGCAATGGCACTGAATTTGGCTCTTGGTTGTTTTCCTTCTTCTGCGCCTCAAATGCTTGCAGGGAAAGAAAAATAAATTAGAATAATCTACAACCTCCATTTTGGTGTTCCTATGCATAGATTTATCTATTATACTGGGCATCTCCAGAGAAAGTAATGAGGGAAATGAAAGCATGCATATTACTTATTAACTTAAAAGACTAGCATGGCTGCTCATCTAACCCTCATTCTTGGCAGTTAAAAATTTAAAGCAAAAACACATCTTGACATCAGGACGTGGCACACAAATTGTCTTGACTATGACGCACCCAACTTGCATTTAATAAGACAACATATGTCATTGCAACACAAAGCAAGACAAAATTTGTTGGTGAGTAGAACAACTGCAACAAGCAAAAACATCCTCTCCCTGAACATCTTCCCGATCATTCTGGAGTAATGACCTTCGGCCCAAGGATGACCACAAGACTGAATGTCAACCCTTGCTGGTTGCCACACTTTTTTCTAAGTGAAACTGTGCTACTTAGAAGACCATGAATGGGGACTGGAATTAATGTAAGAGGAAAAAAGAAGAGATGAAATCATTTTTAATAAGTTACGTATAGAGGAACCCTTACCTAAAGAGGCCACGATCTAGACGTTTCCAACATGACTTCTTCATGCAGGGCTTCCTGCCTGGGATCAAGCAGCAACCACTCTTCACTGCTGAAATGGATGGCCAACTCCCCAAAGGACACAGCACCCTAAAGAAGGAAGAATCCCTGTGAGCAGATTCGATAAAATTTGTAAGATCTCCTTCAATCTGCAAATCCTAAAAGCACAAATGTCTTTGGAGATTCTCAATCATTCATGGTCACGTTTGTTCAAAAACGTGCTTCAGAAGTTTCTTCAGCTTCTTGGATGAGAAGCGAAATGTCTTCAAAGACAAACCAGGAAGTCCAGTTGCCTCTTGAAAAAAGCACCTTTGGGATTAAAATCCAAAGTAAAAATTCTTGATGGGACGTTTCCCTACGTGGACCCAACACATGATACGATAAAAAGGGCCGAATCCACAGCCTACTGCTGACATTCAATTAGTTCATGTTTTATCACCTTGACTGACTCTGCTGACTTTCAATATCAACTTGCCTTGATCAAGGGGCATAGAGTGCCTTAGATAAACCATCTACCAGTGGCCCCAATAGTTCATCATATTTACAAGAGGTTATGTGGGATTTCTGTCTGACATTGTAACCAAATGGTCTTTGTGATTCTTTAACGGGGCAGCTTTGCTCACACGCATGAATATTTCAATTTAACTTTTTTATTAGTTTATCGAAGTATAAAATACAAAGAAAAAAAAATCATGGAAAAGTAAGAAGAGAGGAAGGAAAAAGAGGGGATGACATGGCCAGCAGGTGACACACCCAGAGAATCTTCTCACCCTGGACCAAGGCTCTGCAACCTTAAACACTCAAAGAGCCATTTGGACCAGTTTCCCACAGAAAACACCAGGAGCCACAAAACCTGGTTGGGCGTGGCCAATGTGACATCACTCACTCCCACCTAATCACATGACCATCACCCCCAGCCACTTCTACCCAGGTTTTGTGGCTCCTGGTATAGGGAGCTCTTTTACCATGCAGCTGTATTAACATGGGTGAGGGAATAGAATAGAATAGAATAGAATAGAATAGAATAGAATAGAATAGAATAGAATAGAATAGAATAGAATAGAATAGAATAGAATAGAATAGAATAGAATAGAATAGAATAGAAGATTTGGGAGGGACCTTGGAGGTCTTCTAGTCCAACCCCCTGCTTAGGCAGGAAACTCTATATCACTTCAGACAAATGGTTATCCAACATCTTCTTTAAAAATTCCAGGGTTAATAACTAAAAATATGACAGTAAAGCAAAACGAAGAACTAGAAAGATTAACAGGATTTGAAATAGTAAAAAAGGTTAAATATTTAGGGGTATATATCACAGCTTCAAATGAATTGTTATGGCAAAAAATACAGAAAGAGATGGAGAATTGGGGAAAGTTACAATTATCTTTGTTGGGAAGAATAGCAGCAATAAAAATGAATGTTTTACCCAGGTTTTTATTTTTGTTCCAAATGATACCAATACTCAAGAAAGATGAAAATTTGAGGGAATGGCAGAAGGGTATTAATAATTTTGTTTGGGCAGGGAGAAGACCGAGAATAAAGTTAAAAATAATGCAAGATATACGTGAGAGAGGAGGTCTTAAAATGCCTTACTTAAGATTATACTATGAAGCAGCTGTCCTATCAATAATTAGTGACTGGATTAATTCAACAGAAGAAAGAATATTGAATATTGAAGGATATGATTTGTTATATGGTTGGCATTGTTACGAGTTTGGAAAAAGCTCCAACTTCCCCAGACAGGTGGGGCTCATCATCACTGGGGGTCATCTGGGGAAATCGGAGCGTCGGTAATATCCCCCTGGATGCCTGGGGGAAGCTCTGCGCAGCAACCAGCTGGTTCCAGCATTGAGCGGCATGCAGCCTTGACGAGATCAGCACAGCTTCCTATCAATGTTGTCGGCGCTCCCGTAGCGTCATCAGTCAGCGCCAGAAACTCAGATTTGGGAAGCTGTGCCGATCTCGTCAAGCTGTATGCCGCTCAATGCTGGACCCAGCTGGTTGCTGCGCGGAGTTTCACAGCAGAGAGAAGAAGCTGGATTTTGCTTTCCATTGCAGACACCAGATCGGCCCCCTGCAAGCTCTCGTCTCTGGAGGAGCCCGACCAAAGTTTCCAGTGCCACTTCAGGGAGCGCTCCTCGAAAGATAAGATCTTGCAGGGGGCTGATCTGGCATCCGCAATGGAGCAAAATCCAGCTGCTCCCCGGACCAGTCACCATTTACCGCTCTGAGTCCCAAGCATCAGGAAACGAAGGCTGCCTTGCGCCGCAAATATACCAAGGCAGAATCCTGATGCTGCACTTTCAGCAGAGAGATGAGGGCTGCCTTGGCCATCGGCTGGCGCAAATATACCAAGGCGAATGCTCATGCCGAACAAGTTCAAGTAGTGCTTCGCTCCCATACTTCTCCCGGCCTTCAGTCTCTCAGGGAGATGCTTGACTTCCTCTCAGCCCCAAGACACTGGCTGGCCATTGAGATGAGAGAGAGAGAGAGAATGAGAGAGAAAGAGAGAGAATCAGAATGAGACAGAGAAAGAGACAAAGAATGAAAGAGAGAGAAAGACAGAATGAAAGAGAAAGAGAGAAAGAGACAGAGAGAATCAGAGAGAGAGTGAGAGAGAGAGAATGAGAGACAGAAAGAGACAGAGAATGAAAGAGAGAGAATCAAAGAATCAGAGAATGAGAGAGAGAGAAAGTGGGGGGAGAGAGAGAAAGGGGGACAGAGAGAAAGAGAGAATGAGAGTGGGGGGAGAGAAGGGGAGAGAGAAAGAGAGAGAGTGGGAGAAAGAGAGAAAGAGGGTGGAGAAAGAATGAGAGAAAGAGTGGGAGAGAGAGAGAATGAGAGAGTGGGGGAGAGAGAGAGGGGGGAGAGATAAAGAGAGAATGAGAAAGAGTGGGAGAGAACGAAAGAGAGGGAGAGAGAGAAAGTGAAAATGAGAGAAAGAGAGAATGAGAGAGAAAGAGTGGGAGACACAGAGAGAGAGAGACAGAGAGGAGGGAGAGTGCCTGAAGGACCCCATCCCATACTGGGAGTCCAGATGATTATATTAACAGTAACAATATTTAATCTTCCTGTATTTTTAAAGCTTTTATATGTTTCCGTCCCCTATTGCAGTGCAGGCTCCAACATGTTGTACTTACTATAGCCTTCAGCACCCATACAAAACAAATTCATATCCCTGGTTTATGGTTAAGATGCCCAATTTATGGTATTTCAGCCAGAAGTAATCTGCATTATACCGGATAATGCACTTAAGTTCAATTTAAACCTTAAGCAGAATGGCTTGCCTCAAGTCTTTGTAACTAAGCATGTTTGCTTTAACCAGGCTTTATGCCAATACTATGTAATTGGAAACTGTTTTTAGTAAAACCTTAAAAGTGTTTTCCCCCTTCTTTTTTAAGAAAATGGATGAGGAAGGATATAAGTACAGTGTGCTTTGTTGGCTGGGTAAAATCATTATTGTCTGAACCGCGAAATTTAAAATTATGAAGTTGGTGGTCCCTGAGGTCCAAAAGGTTGGGGACCCCTGGCCTAAGACCATCGGAAAACACATATTTTTGATGGTTTTAGGAATAACTTTATCGTTGGGGGTCACCACAACATGAGGAACTGTATTAAAGGGTCGCGGCATTAGGAAGGTTGAGAACCACTGCCTTAGCTGCTTGCCTTGCTTCGCTTGCCTGAATCCATTCCATCAGCAAGCAACTCCCTGCCTGCAATCAAGCAGGCAGGGAGTTGTGGACTTCAACTCCCAGAATTCCTCAGCCAGCAAAACAAAGCTGGCTGAGGAATTCTGGGAGTTGAAGTCTACAAGTCTTAAAGTTGCCAAGGTTGGAGACCCCTGTTCTATTGGTTAAGTTTTTTTCCCCTTTGGGATCTTTAAAAAAAATAGTTAATTGGGGTTTTTTTTAGTTGTTCTTTTTTAGACCTAGCCATTTAAAGTTTAGGAAGTTTTAAATTTAGCTTTCATATAAAAATAAAAATAAAATAAAATAATATTTGTGCAGCTTTCTGAGATTTAGTGTGTTTTTGTAGTGTTTCATTCTAACTACACAAACACACAAAATCTCACAAAGCTGTATGTGGAATTTTGTGTGTGTAAAGTGTGAAAGTTGGGTTTTTGGGCTTTTTGTGGCTGTGTGAGGTTCCTGCTTGTTTCAGGGGCCATTTTGGGTCTAGCACAGCTGCTTTTACATTGTGGGTGAGCCAGTTGATGTTTTTTTAATTTTTATTTGGTGTGTGTTGGAAGAGGGGTAGTCTTATACGATGAGTATAGCCCAAACCCTATATTTTAACAGGAAAATTCGGGGATCGTCTTATTCGCCCAGTTGTCTTATACGCCGGAAAATACGATAGCTTGTATGTATCCGAATTTGCAATCTAAGTGTTGGAGATGCGATTGTGATGATGCCACTTATTATCATATATGGTGGACTTGTAAAAAAGTTAAAGCATTTTGGATTAAAATATGGTGGATTATCCAAAATATTCTTAAAGAGAAGATAAAGTTTACTCCACAGTTGTTTTTGTTGGGTATCACAGATTGTACGGTTATAGAGACTAAATTGATCTTATATTTAATAACTGCAGCTAGACTTTTGGTAGCGCAATATTGGAAGAAGGAAGATTTGCCTACTATTGAAGAATGGACATTAAAAGTAGTGAATTTAGCAGAAATGGCGAAAACCTCAGCTTATTTGAAAGATCATTCACAAGAAAGATATATATTGGAATAGAGAAGATGGACTGATTATATTCAAAACAAATATTGGACTAAAAAGTATCAAATAGCTTATGAATGAATAGAAAAATTAAGAATATTCATATCTAGTTAAGTAAAAGGGGAGTTAAAGTGTGAAGGGGGGGGATAGGAATCCATAGATAGTTAGCTTAGTTTCGTATATGATTGTTAATTATTATACCCTGTATTTTGTTCTGGGAAGTTCGGGGAAGGGGGGCTGTGGGGGGTAAGGAAGGGGGGGATGAGGAAATATTTGTAAAAAATTGTTTTGTAAAACTCTTTAATAAAAATTAAAAAATTCCAGTGTTGGAGAATTAACAACTTCTGGAGGCAGACGTATTATCATATCTGGTGGACATGTGTAAAAGCAAAGAAATATTGGACAAAAATACATACATGATTGGAGAAAATGTTAAAACAAGACATAGATTTTAAGTCAGAAATATTTTTGCTAGGCATAATACCTGAAAAGTATGACAAAGAGAACTTATATTTAATATTACATGTCTTGACAGCAGCAAGAATTGTATTTGCACAGTACTGGAAAAATGAGGAAACTCCTACAAAGGATGATGTAAATAAAACAAAATTTAGATTGTGCAGAAATAGATGGACTGACACTAAACGTAAAAGAAAAAAAAGATACAGAATATTGTTGGACATGGAACTTGTTTTATAAATGGTTGCATAGCAGAGGTAGAAATTAGGAGTGGGAAAAGCATTATTGTATAAAAATTGATCCAGACAATATGCTGTTCAGTAAGCACTTATGTATGTAAGGTGAAAATTTATAAATAAACTGTTAAAGAAGAAGAGCCTTGGTGGCGCAGCAGACTAAAGTGCTGTTAAGTAGCACCAGCTGCCTGCAATTACTGCAAGTTCAAATCTCACCAGGCTCAAGGTTGACTCAGCCTTCCATCCTTTCAAGGTAGTTAAATGAGGACCCAGATTGTGGGGGCAATAAGCTGACTTTGTATAAAAAAGAACACCGCTTAGGGGGGGCTGAAAGCCCTACTAAGCAGGTATATACAAAAGTATGAAGGCTATTGCTTAATGCACTGTAAGCCGCCCTGAGTCTCTGGAGAAGGGCGGCATATAAATCGAATAAATGAATGAATGAATATAAATTATGGACATTAACAAGGCTGAGAATTCTTCAAGAAAAAAAAGATATGATAGCTATTTCAGTGAGGGAAAATTTAACTGGGGAAGATTTGCTTTAGACCAAGTTACAACGTCTCACAGAACAACTTTGGGACTTTTTTTAAGGGATATAAATAAAGCCGAGAACTTCTTTAGGAAAGGAGACAGAAGAAAAAGACTCTATTCGATGAAGATAAGCTGGAGGGAGTGACTTAAATATGGTTTAATTAATTAGCATGGATTTCTTTTTAAAAAATTGATTTATGTACTGTTAGAAAGCTTTAAGTTAGTTTCGTGTTTTTAAAACAAGTATGTATGTATACACAGGTCTGCCAGTCCTTTAAGTAATGCTGAACAATATTCCAAAGTTGGTAAAATATTATGGACTGGATTTGAAAATATGAGAATGAATGCTATATTATTCCCCACAGCAAGGAGAATCTGAGATGGTTAAAATGATTCTTTTCTCCAAATAAGATATTATATTTAATTTGGTCTCTAGCTTGAAATTGCTTCCGGATTTTCTGTTAGCAATGAGAAAAAAATGAAACTTTGATTCTGTTTTGTAAACTAGGCAGGTTTATTGTTATAGAAATAATGTGTACATTATATTGTGTAAAAGCAAAATGTTATGGTTGTAATGTTGTTACCTTCGACTGTGCCAAAGAGAGTCAAAAGTTGATGCCTTTTTCTTTTTTTCTCCCAGTACACTATAGACCCTCTTGGGACAGGCTACATGAATTGCCATGTGGCATTGTTTGAAACCAGAATTATATAACCACTGAGGAGTTCCATACATTTCCAAATCTTGGTTCAGAGTTGGGCCTAGTTTGACTGATCATAAATGTAAATTTCTAATTTCCTTGTTTTTGTTTTGTTTTGTTTTGTTTTTTGCTTTAATTTATATGCCACCCTTCTCCGGAGACTCAGGGCGGCTTACAATGCGTTAAGCAATAGCCTTCATACTTTTGTATATTTTAATACAAAGTCATCTTATTGCCCCCATAATCTGGGTCCTCATTTCACCTACCTTTGAAAGGATGGAAGGCTGAGTCAACCTTGAGCCTGGTGGGATTTGAACTTGCAGTAATTGCAAGCAGCAGATGTTAATAACAGTGCTTTAGTCCACTGTACTACAGGCTCTTTCGAGCCTAATTTCCTTGTTGTGCTTTGCTCAGCAATAGCAGTATCATATGTTGAGTCCCCAAAGGAAACCAGAGGTCTCCTACTCCTCCCCCCTATAAGGTGCTAATCTCTTCCTTCCTACCTGAATCAGGAATCCAGCAGCTCTTTCAGCTCCACCAATAGAAGGAGATGATTCAATGAACAACGGTGACTCCATTTTGTCCACTGGGAAGGAGAGAGACAGGATGGAAACAGGAAAGGGTTCAACTTCATCTTTTCTAGCTTGAAGGCACAACTTAAGATTTCTTCCTGTCCTGCTCAGGAAACCTCCATTTGACTTTTATCCTTGGGGGTCCCTCTGAAATAGAGATCAGGAGAAAGATTTGTGAGATCCACACAATTCCTCCCCATTCCTGGAAGGACCTCAGAACCTGAAATATAAGCGAAGAAGAGCACTTAAGAGGACAGGACAAAAGAGGAGCTGCATTTTATTTTCTGCCTACAAAATCCTTGTGCCCATCAGTGGCGATGGATGAGACCCAATGGGAGAATCGCTCCAAACGACCGACTCTTTGGAAGGACAATTGGGCTTATGAGGTTCTACCCACATTCTTAACCTCCAAAACTCCAACAGGGAGAAATGGAAGACTTCAAGCAGGAGAAGATCCCTTCGTATTTCCCATAAGAGGCTTCTCTGACCTGCAGCTCTTCCTGCTTCTCCTCTTCTCTGCCAGGCTCAGAAGGGATCTTCCAGCCACTGGCACCGCTGGCTCTCCAAAGATCCTTCCAGTCTTCCGGGAATCTGAATGAAATGTGAGCAGGGGGTTCCTTTAGGTTTCCTTCTCCCCTCCCCCCTCCCCAATTCGTGGATCTCCCCCCATGCACAGCCAAGAGCAGTTATGGGGCGGACTTCCCGCTCCCTCCAACCTCAGAATCTCCTTCCCGCCTCTGAGCAGGATCTAAGTCGCGGGATCTCCTCTTGCCCAGCCCCACCGGATTCCCAGGGAGCAACTCTCAGCCGGAACATTCAGAACACTCAGCCGGAGTGGAGCATGCGCAGTGGTCTCTTCACTCGGCAGCTAAGAGAGCACCCCCTGCTGGCACCTGGGGTGAAGTCGCTGCCCACACAGAGACACAGAGAGAGAGTGAGGAGCGTCAAAGGCTTTTTCAAGAGGTAACTAGACTTTATTTTTCTCTTGAAGACCTTTTGCTTCTTATCCAAGATGCTTCTTCAGCTCTAACTGGAGGGTGGGGAATGGAAGGATTCATACTCCTTGCAGACAGCTGGTCACTTGCATCCTTTGAGAGAGGCCTTGAGGCCACTTGCAGGTTTATCTGGGTCCACCTCAGGGTCACCCGAGTTGTGCAAATGGGTGCGGAGCCTTCGTGGAACTGCTGAAAGGACCCTGTTGTAGACCCTCATCCAGTCAGAACTGAAGAAGCTGCTTGGATGAGAAGCGAAAGATCTTCAAAGACAAACCAGTTGCCTCTTGGAAAGCTCCTTGGGATAACCACGACCTGGAGGACTGAGAATCTCCATAGACACCTTTTAGCATGCTAAGGAGCTTTTCTGGAGCAAGTGAGGACTGAGAGACCCCCAAAACTGGCAGAATGTGACCCATTCTGCTGCTTTGGATGTTTTGAGCCTGACGCCTTCCATTGTCTCCCAGTTTTTTAAACTACATCCTCCTAAAACTGGGACCAGAGTTGCCTCTGAGTTTTCTCCTCCTTCACCTTCCGGAAGGGATGAGGGAGCCGGGAGGGGCAATCCCGGCTTCCATCCTCCAAACGTCCCACAAAAGGCTCCCTGCAGCCATACGTTTCATCCAGATGTTTCACCTTTGTGTAAATAAATCCCAGGAGAAACACGGAGATTTCTCCAAGAAATGGGAATGCAGACTCAGACCTCCATCACCGAGCTTCAGTATTCATGTAATTCCGAATTATGTCATTAAGGATGGAGAGAAAAGCGTGGAGGGGAAAATGAGGCCACGACCCTGGAAGACAGAGATGGATGGGAAAACCATCCTCATCACCTGATGCTTCTCAGCCGTCAGACTCCCCGGGAGGTCAGGGAAACGGGCCATACAGAAAGGCCTCTGGAAAGCCAGAGTGGGTCTTGCACTGGAAGGCTACAGACACGTGTCACGGGGGTCGTGGGAAAAACAAGTGAGCCGTGGCTGGAGGAGACCTCTAGATTTGGGGCCTCACCGGCTCGTAGCCTCGGATTTCCCCATCTCAGCAATCCTTGCCTCCCCGAGAGATCGCTTCGCTCAGGGCCCGCCTGGCACTCTTGGGGACCCCCACAGTTCCGCCGTACACAATCTGCGGAGCCCCTCCCCCTTTCTCTTTTTGCTCCAATGGCTTTCTCGGCAGAAGGAAATCACCAGAGATTCTGCCCAGAGACAAATGACTCATCAGAAGGGAAGGATTCCCATTGGCGCAAATTGATTCCTGGCAAGCCAACTCCGAAGTATCCTTGTCAAGCCCCGCCCCTCGAATTCTACTTCTCCCCTCTCTTGGGGAGGGGCCTTGGGGGAAGCCTCCATGGGCTCCGCCCGTTGCCGTTGCTACTGCTGGTGGGGACCCTGGAAGCAAAGGGGGAAGGAGGACCCACGGTAGATGTGGGGGAGTGGGAGGGACCATTGATGCTGTGGTGGGGGGAGTTGACTGGGACCCCCCAGGTGAGACATGAGCGAGGTGGGAGCTTGCGTGACTCCTCCCCTTTCCTCTTGGCCCCTCCCCTCCCAGTGCGATGGCTCTCAGGCGTAGAAGCGGGCAAAGGGGTTCCCAGAGGGGTTGTTGTTAGTGGCGAAGTCGGCTCCGACCCATCGCCACATCCAGGCCTTCCTGTCCTCTACCCTTCCCCAGAGTCCGTTTAACTCCCTCCGACTACCTCAGTGGCTCCATCCAGGCCACTCCTTCTTTTGCCCCCCCCCTTCCCAACATTCGGCTCTTCTGCAGGGAATCCTGGCGTCCCAGAGGGTGGGAGGAGCCTATTCTGGCGGGAAGAGCGGAGACGGAGACAGAGGCTGCTCTGAGGGAAGAGTCACCATGGGAGTGGTGGTCTTTGGGGTCCTCAGGGAGGGACTAGACTCCTTTCTCTGGGTCAGACACCGAATTGGGCCTCCTTCTGGTCCCCTCTCCTCCCTCAGGGGCCCCTTTCCGGCTTCTCTGTTGGGAGATCCTCAGGGGACCCTTTGAAGTCACCCCGTCACTGAGGCGAATGAATCAGACGATCCCCAGATCCCCACACTGGATCCCCTGTCAAGCCCTCGGCCTCCACTCACCCCCAAAGACCCTTCAGAATAATGATGGTATTTGGGTGTGGCTGGGAGAAGGTGGGAGGCCTCGACCAACTGGTCATGGCCAGGTGTGTGGCCGGTTTGGCACAGCTCCCTGTGGCTGTGCCTGTGTGGGCTGGGCAGGGTTAAGGAGGGAATCCAGGGGTCTCTGGTGGGTGGGGGGTTTAGCTTGTCCTGCAGGGTGAGGTGAAGTGAGGCAGGGGGTGGGGCAGCTACAGCTGGAAACCGGTTACCACCATTTGCTCTCCCCCTTTTGTATGTGGGGAGGGGAGAAAATGTTTCCGGTTGTAGACGCCTGCCAGTCCTTCAGTTGTAAAACGTTGTGACTCCGGGGCCACTGCCACCACTGGGCTGGCTGTCGAAGCAGCAAACAGGCCAGGGGAGGGGGCAGGAATGTGTTATGGACCACTAGATGCACTAATTCTGTCCTGCTCTGTTTTGGGTTATGGTTTCAGAGCAGGTTGCTGCTAGTCATCTTCTAAGACCCCAAGCAGGTGCCCCCCATTTGCCTGCACGTGGAGAGTGTTCCACTCGCCCACCTGACTACAGCAGTTGTGGTGCGTCAGGTACAGGACAGGGTTGCTCGAAGCAGACCCAGCAGGGAGCTGGGCAGGGAGCAGTGCTTCCACACCCGCTTCCAGACCCAACTCACGGCATCCAGCTGGGCTTCCCCGAATTGTAGTAGGTGGTAGGGTAGGTAGTGGCGTCTGTCCCAATGCTGTATGAAAGGGGCACCAGTTAAGGCAGTGCTTTGTCGACTCGACCAAATCTGAAAGTCCCCTAGGTTTTCCCTAGCCAAAAGAAAGTCAGAGTCCCTTCCCCTGCACCCACATATCCGTCACATGGTCCATTCAATTCACTGTCCCAACGGGAGATGTTTCCCAATCACGCTTCTTCAGGTGCAGGCTGAACGTCCTTGAATCACACAAAGCAGAATGATGTTATGGCTACATATCTCACCGCAACTCCATCCAATCCCCCTCCTGTTTTCCCACACTACTAAGTGTTGCAGGCCTGAAGATTGAAACAAAAAGAGGGCTGACAATATTTTTCTTTAACAAACATAACTGCTTAGTAAACAGTGTATTGTCTGGGTCAATTTACTTCTAGGTAATAATAGTAATAATATTATTATTCACTTATATCAACTTCTAATTTCTACCTCTATTGTCTAACTATTGATAAAACAAATCCCATGTTAAAAATATTCTGTCTTCTTTGTCGTTTATCTTTGATGTTAACCTATCCATTTCTGTAAAATCTAGTATTTTTCTAATTATATTTTGGTCTGTAGGAGTTTCCTCACTCTTCCAGTGTTGTGCAAATTCAATTCTCGCTGCTGTCAAGACATGTAGTATTAAATATTTGTTCCCTTTGTCATATTTTTCTGGTTTAATACCTAACAAAAATATTCCTGACTTTAAATGTATATGTTGCTTTAACTATGTGTGTATTTAACTCTAATAATGTGTGTATTTTCATCCAATTTTTTTTTGCCTTTTGGCATGTTCACCACATATGGTAATAAGAGCCCGGTATCTGATTACATTTCCAACATTTGGAGGACATGTTTTTAAGCATCTTGGCTATCCTTCCTGGTGGCTAATGCCACATTTTATACAGGTTTTCCTTATAGGTAGTCGCTATTGTCAATTTATATTTTCTATCCCAAAGTTTTTGCCATCTATCTAATTCTATGGTATAGCCAAAGTTTTTTGCCAATACTATCATTCTTTCTTTCACTTGTTCATCTTCCATTTTAAGGCTTAATAGAAAGCTTTTTTTATTATTATTAATGCTTCATCCGTCATGAATACTATCCGGTCAAGTGTTGTTGGCTCTTTATAGAAACCATGTGTCTTTGCATCTTTCTAATATCTCCATCCTATTTGCAGGTGTGGCCACCATTCTAGGTCCACACCTTGGTTTTGTAGTTCCTGTTGTGTTTTCAGTTCCCCTTCCTCATTCAGAAGGTCTTTATATGTTACAGTTTTTTCCAGGTTTACAACATTTGGATGTATCAGTGCTTCCATTGTGGAAAGCCAAGATGGTATTTTCATATAGTTTTTTGCCTTAAAATTTTCCCATACTAAGAGTAGAGCGTTTCTTACATATCTATGTAATAAATATAACAGAAAGAAAGATAGAAAATATCTATGTATTTTATTCTTTTCCTACCACAAAAAGGCATGCCATCCCAATTGAAGATCATGTCCCTTCAACATGACATACTCTTCTATGTCTTAGATTTATCCATTCTTTCACCCAAGTTAGTACAGAAGCCTGATAATAAAGCTCCCAGTCCGGCAACCAAAAGCCCCTATTGTTTTTAGATTTGTGCAGCATTATCAGTTTTATTCTTGCTCTTTTTTATTCCCTAACGTATTTCAGGATGATTGTGTTCAGCTCATCAAAATTTCTCTCTCTCTTATTTTATAGGGAACATTTCGAACAAAAAAACTACCTTCGGCAGGATGTTCATTTTATGGTTATAAAATAGATAGTGAAAGACAGTTGCAAAGTTTTCCAGTGTTCCATGTTCAATTTAATTTGTTGTATTAATCCTTTATAGTTACTTTCTTTAATTGTTGCACATCTTCCTGTTAAGTATACTCCCAAATATTTAACTTTCTTGACTACCTGAAAATCTATCTTCTTTGTCCATTCATTTTTCTGTTTATCCATAAGTGAAATAAGTTGATTGCTGTCTACAGGATATTTTCCTGCCCATTGTGGGTTCTTTCTTGAGAAGGGTTCTCTTTCACAAAAACTCCTTCCACATTCCGTACATTTCTATTTCCCTCTTTTGTGGATCCTCTTATGGACAGAAAGGCTACTGTTAAATCTGAAGCTGTTCCCACATTCCAGGCATTTATAGGGTTTCTCTCCGGTGTGGGTCCTTTTATGAATAGTCAGAGACCTACTAGCAACGAAGGTCTTTCCACACTCTGTGCACTTATAAGGTTTTTCTCCTGTATGGACCCTGTTATGGTAACTAAGTTGACTGCTTCGGCTGAAGCTCTTCCCACACTCTATACATTTATAGGGTTTCTCTCCTGTGTGGATCCTCTCGTGAGAAGTAAGAGAAGTCTTGCAAGTGAAGCTCTTTCCACACTCCATACATGTATAGGGTTTCTCTCCCGTGTGGAGCCGTTTATGGAGGTTCCGGTAATTGCTGTTTTTGTAGCTCTTTCCACATTTCATGCACTTATAGGGTTTTTCTCCTGTGTGGATCCGTTTATGGGTAGCAAGGTCACAGCTTTGCCTGAAGCCCTTCCCACAGTCTAGGCATTTATAGGGTTTTTCTCCTGTGTGGATCCGTCTATGAGAAGTAAGAGAACTCTTTACACTGAAGCTCTTTCCACACTCCATGCATTCATAGGGTTTTTCTCCTGTGTGGACCCGTTTATGGGAAGCAAGGGTACCGCTTTGGCTGAAGCCCCTCCCACACTCTAGGCATTTATAGGGTTTTTCTCCTGTGTGGATCAGTTTATGACAATTAAGAGAACTCTTTCCCTTGAAGCTCTTGCCACACACCTTGCATTTAAAGGGTCTTTCTTCTGTATGTATCTTTTCATGGGCTGTAAGGGAAGATTTCGTTCTGAAACTTTGTCCACAAATCACACATTTATAAGGTTTTTCCCCCGAATGGATCCTTTTGTGGCACATCAGGTAATTACTACTTTTAAAACTCTTCCCACATTCTATGCATTTAAAGGGTTTTTCTCCAGTATGTACCCTTTTATGGGAAGTAAAGGAACCCTTCACACGGAACCTTTGTCCACAATCCACACATTTGTAAGGTTTTCTCCCTGTATGGATCCTTTTGTGGCATATCAGGGAACTACTAGTTGTGAAGCTCTTCCCACACTGTTTGCATTTAAAGGGTTTTTCTCCTGTGTGGACCCTTTTATGGGAAGTAAGAGCACTCTTTACACTGAAGCTCTTTCCACACTGTATGCATTTAAATGGTTTTTCTCCTGTGTGGACCCGTTTATGGGAAACAAGGCTACTGCTTTGGCTGAAGCCCTTCCCACAGTCTAGGCATTTATAGGGTTTTTCTCCTGTGTGGATCCGTTGATGACAATTAAGAACACTGCTTCCCCTGAAGCTTTTTCCACACTCCATGCATTTATAGGGTTTTTCTCCTGTATGTATCCTTTTATGGTACGTAAGAGAACTCTTCATACTGAAACTTTTCCCACAATCCACACATTTATAAGGTTTTCCCCGTGAATGGATCCTTCTATGGCACATCAAGTAAATTCTACTTTTGAAGCCCTTCCCACATTCTATGCATTTAAAGGGTTTTTCTCCAGTATGTACCCTTTTATGGTACGTAAGGGAACTCTTCACACTGTAACGTTTTCCACGATCCACACATTTATGGATCTTTTTATGAGAAATTGAATTACTGCTTTTTCCACAGTCCACATCGTTGTAGGGCTTCCCCCTTGCCTGGTTCTTTTTATGTGAAGTAAGATTATTACTGCTGGAGCTTTTTCCCGATTTGCAGTGATTACTAGCATTGGGGTTTGCTTTGGATCTTTTTCTACTTTGACATTTCCCTGTATTTTGTTTGGAATCATGTTGGGTCAGGAAGCGATCCATTTCCACACATTCAGGAATTGATTTTTCTCTCCAGTTATGCTTCTTTTTATGTTTCTTCCTTCCCTGCTTATTTGTAGATGTCTCTTCAGGAATTTCAGTTGTGATTATTTGCAACGGCCCTAAATTTGGCTCTTGTTCGTTTTCCTTCTTCTGCGCCTCAAATGCTTGCAGGGAAAGAAAAATAAATTAGAATAATCTACAACCTCCACTTTGGTGTACCTATGCATAGATTTATCTATTATATTGGGCATCTCCTGAGAAAGGAATGAGGGAAATGACAGCATGCATATTACTTATTAACTTAAAAGACTAACATGGCTGCTCATCTAACCCTCATTCTTGGCAGTTAAAAATTTAAAGCAAAAACACATCTTGACATCAGGACGTGGCACACAAATTGTCTTGACTATGATGCACCCAAGTTGCATTCAATAAGACAACATGTCATTGCAACACAAAGCAAGACAAAATTTGTTGATGAGTAGAACAACTGCAACAGGCAAAAATATCCTCTCCCTGAACATCTTCCCAATCACTCTGGAGTAATGTCCCAGGGCGCAAGGATGACCCCAAGATTTAATGTCCACCCTTGCTGGTCGCCACACTGATCTCTTTTTTCTAAGTGAAACTGTACTGCTTAGAAGACCATGAAGGGGGACTGGAATTAATGTAAGAGGAAAAAATAAGAGATGAAATCATTTTTTAATAATTTATGTATAGAGGAACCCTTACCTAAAGAGGCCACCATCCTAGACGTTTCCAACATGACTTCTTCATGCAGGGCTTTCTGGCTGGGATCAAGCAGCAACCACTCTTCATTGTTGAAATGGATGGCCACCTCTCCAAAGGACACAGCACCCTAAAGAAGAAAGAACTCATTGTAAGCCGCCCTGAGTCTCCGGAGAAGGGCGGCATATAAATTAAAGGAAAAAAGAAAATCCCTGTGAGCAGACTCGACAGAATTTGCAAGATCTCATTCGATCCGCAAATCCTAAAAGCACAAATGTCTTTGGAGATTCTCGATCATTCATGGTCACGTTTGTCCAAAAAGGTGCTTCAGAAGTTTATTCATCTTCTTGGATGACAAGTGAAACGTCTTCAAAGACAAACCAGGAAGTCCAGTTGCCTTTTGAAAAAAGCACCTTTGGGATTAAAATCCAAACTAAAAATTCTTGATTGGACATTTCCATAGGTGGACCCAACACATGATACGATAAAAAGGGCAGAATCCACAGCCTACTGCTGACATTCAATTAGTTCATGTTTTATCACATTGACTGAGTGTGCTGGCCTTCAATATCATCACCTTGCCTTGATCAAGGCGCATAGAGTGCCTTAGACAAACCATCTACCAGTGGCCCCAATAGTTCATCATGTTTGCAAGAGGTTATGTGGGATTTCTGTCTGACATCGTAACCAAATGGTCTTTGTGATTCTTTAACGGGGCAGCTTTGCTCACAAGGATGAAAATTTCAATTTAACTTTTTTATTAGTTTATCGAAGTATAAACTACAAAGAAAAAAAATCATGGAAAAGTAAGAAGAGAGGAAGGAAAAAGACGGGATGACATGGCCAGCAGGTGTCATGCCCAGAGAATCTCCTCACCCTGGACCAGTGCTCTTCAACCTGAAGCCATTTGAACCAGTTTCCCACAGAAAACACCAGGAGCCACAAAACCTGGGTGGGCGTGGCCAACGCGACATACTCACTCCCACCTAATCACATGACCATCACCTCCAGCCACTTCTACCCAGGTTTTGTGGCTCCCAGTATGGAGCCACAAATTACCATGCAGCTTTATTAACATGGGTGAGGGAATAGAATAGAATAGAATAGAATAGAATAGAATAGAATAGAATAGAATAGAATAGAATAGAATAGAATAGAATAGAACAGAACAGAACAGAACAGAACAGAACAGAAAATTTGGGAGGGACCTTGGAGGTCTTCTAGTCCAACCCCCTGCTTAGGCAGGAAACTCTATACCACTTCAGACAAATGGTTATCCAACATCTTCTTTAAAAATTCCAGTGTTGGAGAATTAACAACTTCTGGAGGCAGACGTATTATCATATCTGGTGGACATGTGTAAAAGCAAAGAAATATTGGACAAAAATACATACATGGTTGGAGAAAATGTTAAAACAAGACATAGACTTTAAGATATAAACCAATTTGGCGCAGTAGCAGGATTTAAAATGAATAAAGACAAAATTAAAATATTGACTAAGAATTTAAACAACAGACAGAGTGAACAACTAGAGGAGGAACTAGGAATCTCGAGAACAAAGAAAATTAAATATCTGGGAATTTGGCTATCAGAAAAGTGTACTACCATAAAGAGGGACAATTACAATACACTCCTATTACAAATACAAAAAGATTTGGATACCTGGACTAAATTACCAATATCATTAATTGGCAGAATTTCAACGATAAAAATGAACATATTGCCCAAGTTACTATATTTATTCCAAACAGTACCAATAACATTACGGAAATTTTTTTTTTGAATAACTGAATAAATTGACATCAAAATTCATATGGTCAGGGAAAAAACCGTGCATTAAATTCAAATTATTGCAAGATAGTAGGAAAAAAGGAGGTTTTGGTTTACCAGAATGGGAACTTTATTATCAAGTGGCATCCCTAACATGGCTCAAAGATTGGATACAACTTAAAAATAAGCGGATATTAACGATAGAAGGCCATGACCTTCAACTTGGTTGGCATGGCTTTTTATGGAATAGGAAAAATAAATCACACACTTATTTTCAATGTCATAAGGTAAGGTATGCACTATTGAAAGTATGGGAAAAAATTAAAAAGAATCATTATATGAAAGTCCTAGTTTGGTTATCTACAATGGAAGCAATGATACATCCAAATACCACAGACCTAGATAAAATGGTAAGATACGCAGATTTATTAGACACAAAAGGAGAATTAAAATCGATACAAGATTTGAAAAAACAAGGAAATTTGGAATGGTGGCCATATTTACAAATCAAAACTAGATTTAAAAAAGGAACAATTTGGCATAAACAGGAAACAATCGGAATTAGATAAATTAATATTAGAATCGGGAAGAAAAATGATTACAAATATCTATAATTACTTATTAGGATACAAATTGGAAGAAGAAACAGTAAAGGAAACGATAAGTTGGGCTAGGAATTTTGGACATAACATAGAATTGGATAAATGGGAAAAATTGTGGGAGGAAAATTACAAATTGACCATGACAATATCATACAAAGAAAACAGCTGTAAAATGTTTTATAGGTGGCATTTAGCACCAGCGAGACTGGCAAAAATGTACCCCAATTTAACACCCCAATGTTGGAGATGTGGTCACAAACTAGGGACATACTACCACATGTGGTGGATGTGCCCTAAGGTGAGGAAATTTTGGTATAAAATTAAAGGGTGGTTGGAAGAGATTACACTCCAAAAGTTAGATTTTAAACCAGAGATGTTCCTCCTAGGAATAATTGATAGAAAAATGGAAAAAAGTCTCTATTATATTATATTTCATATTCTAACTGCCAGAATTACTCTAGCGCAAATGTGGAAGTTGACCAATACACCATTGGAAGAAACAATAATAAAGAAAATCCTCGAATGCGCCAAAATGGATAAATTAATGATGGAGATCAAAGAAAGAGAAGACTCGGATTATTATAAAGTGTGGAATAGGTTTTATACATGGTTGGAAAACATGCCCTCTGGAACGAGCTCCCCCCGGAGATACGGATGATCCCAGACTTACGAACTTTTCGCTGGGCCCTAAAGACTTTATTTCACCAAGCCGGGCTGGCCTAATTTTTAAATTTTTTAAATTGTTTAATTTTAATCTGAATTTTAATGGGGTATTTAAACTGTTGGGCCAAATTATTTAATTTATTTTAAATTGCTTTTAAATTTTGTATTTTCTGTTTTTACCTTTGGCTGTTCACCGCCCTGAGTCCTTCGGGAGAAGGGCGGTATATAAATTTAAAAATAAAATAAAATAAAATAAATGTAGAAATCAAATTAAGAAATAAGAATATAAAGTGAAATTAGATATTAACATACTGGATATAAATGTAAATAATGATCCTGCTAACAAAACAATTAATTATGGATATTTAAAAATAAAGAGGAACGGGAGGATAAAAGCTAAGAGTAAAGACAAAAGTCGATGCAGAAAGTTGTAAAATTGTATATATCTGTTGTCAGTATTGTATTTTAACATCTGATGTACGTGTGTTTTTGTGTTTTTGTTTTTGTCTCTTGATTTCTTTTGCTATTGTGTGTTTGGTTTTAAAATGTAAAATACTCAATAAAAATTATTTTATTAAAAAAAAATCAAACTTCAGCTCTTCTTATGATGATGGTGTGAGTTCAATCTTCCCAGTGCAACCGAAACAAGTATATCAAGTAGGTTCACAACTTTTAAGAAGTCAAGCTTGGAACTTTCCCATTATGGACATTAACAAAGCTGAGAATTCTTCAAGAAAAAAAAGATATGATAGCTATTTTAGTGAGGGAAAATTTAATTGGGGAAGATTTGCTTCAGACCAATTTACAACATCTCAGAAAACAACTTTGGGACTTTTTTTAAGGGATATAAATAAAGCCGAGAACTTTTTTAGGAAAGGAGACAGAAGAAAAAGACTCTATTTGATGACGATAAACTGCAGGGAGTGACTTAATTAGGATGGATTATTTTTTTAAAAAAATTGATTTATATACCATTAGAAAGCTTTAAGTTAGTTTTGTGTTTTTAAAACAAGTATGTATGTATACACAGGTCTGCCGGTCCTTTAAGTAATGCTGAACAATATTCTAAAGTTGGTAAAATATTATGGACTGGATTTGAAAATATGAGAATGAATGCTATATTATTCCCCACAGCAAGGAGAATCTGAGATGGTTAAAATGATTCTTTTCTCCAAATAAGATATTATATTTAATCTGGTCTCTAGCTTGAAATTGCTTCCAGATTGTCTGTTTGCAATGAGAAAAAAAATGAAACTTTGATTCTGTTTTGTAAACTAGGCAGGTTTATTGTTATAGACATAATGTGTACATTATGTTGTGTAAAAGCAAAACGTTATGGTTGTAATGTTGTTACCTTCGACTGTACCAAAGAGTGTCAAAAGTTGATGCTTTTTTTTTCTCCCAGTACACTATAGCCTCTCTTTTCCTCTCTTCTTATTTTTCCATGTTTTTTTTATTATATTTTATACTTTGATAAACTAATAAAAGTTTACTTGAAAAAAAACCACTCACAAACATTCGTGAAAATATTAGGGAGGCACGTCCAGGCATCAAGATGCAGATGATACACAAAGCAATTTCTGCTTCTCCTTTTTTATCCCTTTCCCCAATGATAGGAAAAGAAGATTATACTTAAAATACAGTAGATCTAGCCTAAGTATTCATGTCTCCTTTCTGCTTTACTTGGGACAGGCAACAAGAATCTGCCATCTAGAATTATACAACCTCTAAGGAATTCCATAGACCTCCAAATCTTTGTTGAGAGGTGGGCCGATTTGACTGATTGTAAATGTAAATTTCTAATTTCCTTGTTGTGCTTTGCTCAGGAATAGCAGTATCATAGGTTGAGCCCCCAAAGGAAACCAGAGGTCTCCTACTCCTCCCCCCTATAAGGTGCTAATCTCTTCCTTCCTACCTGAATCAATAATCCAGCGGCTCTTTCAGCTCCACCAATAGAAGAAGATGATTCAATGAACAACGGTGACTCCATTTTGTCCACTGGGAAGGAGAGAGACAGGAAAGGGTTCAACTTCATCTTTTCTAGCTTGAAGGCACAATTTAAGATTTCTTCCTGTCCTGCCCAGGAAACCTCCATTTCTCTCTCTTCTACACTCTGCCTTTCATAGGCTCCACCTGGGAGCCAAGAATAAAAGGAGAAGACCAAACCCACCACATGTTGAAGAACAAACCTCAGTTAAGATTGTTCTCCTAACGAAAGTCCAACCTCCCGGCTGGACTATTGTAATGCTCTCTACATGGGGCTCCCCTTGAAGAGCACTCGGAGGCTCCAACTTGTCCAGAATGCGGTCGCGCGGGTGGTTATGGGCGCAACTCGTTGTGCCCATGTGACACCCCTCCTGCGCGAGCTGCACTGGCTCCCAGTGGTCTTCCGGGTGCGATTGAAGGTGCTGGTAACCACCTTTAAAGCGCTCCATGGCATAGGACCCAGGTACCTTCGAGATCGACTTCTGCCACCAATAGCCTCCCACCGACCAGTTCGCTCCCACAGAAAGGGTCTCCTCAGGGTGCCATCAGCCAAGTTATGTCAGCTGGCGACACCCGGGGGAGGGCCTTCTCTGTGGGAGCCCCAGCCCTGTGGAATGAACTGCCCCCGGAAATACGTAAGATCCCCGACCTCCGGGTATTTCGCTGTGCACTGAAGACCCTGTTGTTCCACCAGGCCGGGCTATCGACATGATAACTTTAAATTGGGGTATTTTAAATTTCTGGGGTTTTAAATGGAGCCAAATTTATTTAATAATTTTAAATTTTAAATTGATGTTTTGTCTTGTGTTTTTAAATAGGCTGTACACCGTCCTGAGTTCTTCGGGAGAAGGGCGGTATAGAAATAAATTATTATTATTATTATTATTATTATTATTATTATTATTATTATTATTATTATTATTATTATTATTATTATTTTGGAACAATACGTGTAAGTTTATACTCTTGGCAAACAAAGCATTTGCTCAATCACTGTAAATTCCCCCCCCCCCCCGCAGTTTGAAACCAGATAAATTAGTGATATTCCAGCAACCCAGGAAATGGGTTGGAAATGGCCCAGCAGGGATCCGTGTAGGAATTTACTCAAAATTATCTGTTTAAGGAAAGCCAAAAATAAAGAGAAATCTCTCAGGATGGAGGAGGAGCCAGAATACCACTCAAGGTGGCCCCTACAAGAGTATGTCTTCTGGGAAAGACCAACCATAGCCTTGCTCTGAAGGGAGGGAATTCCTTTGTGCGCCTTGCAGAGAGAGTTCGATCTTTCTTATTGGGTCAACTTCTACTAAGTCCAACGACTAAGACTCGAGAAGACACAGAGAATTAAGGATAACTAGAATATTTCTAGAAAGTATCTAATCCAAGTGGAACAGTCTCCCCTTACCTAGAGAGGTATCCTGACCTTGACTTTTATCCTTGGGGATCCCTCTGAAAGACAGATCAGGAGAAAGATTTGTGCGGATCCAGCGAATTCCTCCCCATTCCTGGAAGGACCTCAGAACCTGAAATATAAGCACAGAGGAGCAGTTAAGAGGACAGGACAAAAGAGGAGCTGCATTTTATTTTCTGCCCACAAAACCGTTCTGTCCCATCAGTGGCGTTGGATGAGACCCAATAGGGGAATTCAGGGTGAAATGGAAGAATTCAAGCAGGTGAAGATCCCTTCAGATTTCACAAAAGAAGCTTCTCTGACCTGCAGCTCTTCCTGCTTCTCTCCTTTCACAGCCTCAGCACGGACCTTACAGCACCGGGAAGCTGGTCTCCTCTGACTCTCCTGGCTCTCCAAAGATCCTCCCAGCCTCGGAATCTGAATCTGAATCTGAATCTAAATGGAGATGTGAGCAGAGGATTCCTTTAGGCTTCCTTCTCTCCTCCCCCCTCCCCAATTCGTGGATCTCCCCCCATGCGCAGCCAAGAGCACTTATGGGGCGGACTTCCCGCTCCCTCCAACCTCAGACTCTCCTTCCCTCCCCTGGGCAGGATCTGAGTCGTGGGATCCCCTCTTGCCCGCTTCCACCGGATTCCCAGGGAGCAACTCTCAGCCGGAACATAGAGAAAACTCAGCCGGAGTGGAGCATGCGCAGTGGCCTCGGCATCAAGCGAGCGCCCCCTGCTGGCACCTTGGGTGAAGTCGCTGCCCACAAACACAAACACAGAGGGAGAGCCAGGAGTGTCAAAGATGCTTTTTCAAAAGGTAACTGGACTTTATTTTTTTCTTTGAAGACCTTTTGATTCTTATCCAAGATGCTTCTTCAGCTCTAACTGGAGGGTGGGGAATGGAAGGATTCATACTCCTTGCAGAAAGCCGGTCACTTGCATCCTTTGAGAGAGGCCTTGAGGCCACTTGCAGATTTATCTGGGTCCACCTCAGGGTCACCCGAGTTGTGCAAATGGGTGCGGAGCCTTCGTGGAACTGAAGAAGGTATCCCTATATTGTTTATGGCTTATATCAGGCTTATATACTGCTTCACAGCTCTCTCTAAGCAGTTTACAGAGTCATCATGTGGCCCCCAACAATCTGGGTCCGCATTTCCCCCACCTCGGAAGGATGGAAGGCTGAGTCAACCTTGAGCTGGTGAGACCCGAACTGCCAAACTGCTGGCAGCCGGTGATCAGCAGAAGAAGCCTGCAGTTACTGCATTCTAACCACTGCACCAACGCGCCTCAATTGTATTGTAGATTACATCTTCCTAAAACTGGGACCAGAGTTGCCTGGGCCACATCCTCTGACGTTTCTCCTCCTTCACCTTCCGGAAGGGATGAGGGAGCCAGGAGGGGCAATCCCGGCTTCCATCCTCCAAACGTCCCACAAAAGGCTCCCTGCAGCCATACGTTTCATCCAGATGTTTCACCTTTGTGTAAATAAATCCCAGGAGAAACACGGAGATTTCTCCAAGAAATGGGAATGCAGACTCAGACCTCCATCACCGAGCTTCAGTATTCATGTAATTCCGAATTATGTCATTAAGGATGGAGAGAAAAGCGTGGAGGGGAAAATGAGGCCACGACCCTGGAAGACCGAGATGGATGGGAAAAACATCCTCATCACCTGATGCTTCTCAGCCGTGAGACTCCCCGGGAGGTCAGGGAAACGGGCCATACAGAAAGGCCTCTGGAAAGCCAGAGTGGGTCCTGCACTGGAAGGCTACAGACACGTGTCACGGGGGTCGTGGGAAAAACAAGTGAGCCGTGGCTGGAGGAGATCTCTAGATTTGGGGCCTCATCGGCTCATAGCCTGGGATTTCCCCATCTCAACAATCCTTGCCTCCCCGAGAGATTCCTTCGCTCAGGGCCCGCCTGGGTCCTCTTGGGGACCCCCAGTTGAACACGGAAAGGCCCCCTCCAGTTCCGCCGTACACAATCTGCGGATCCCCGCCCCCCTTTCTCTTTCTGCTCCAAAGGCATTCTCGGCAGAGAAAAATCACCAGAAAGTCTGCCCAGAGACCGATGACTCATCAGAAGCGAAGCTTCCCATTGGTGCAACCGATTTCTGTCAGGCCAACTCTGAAATATTCTTGTCAAGCCCCCCCCCCCCGCCCAATTCCACTTCTCTTGGGGAGGGGGCTTGGGGGAAGCTTCCAGGGGCTCCGCCTGTTGCCGCTGCTGGTGGGGACGTCGGCGGGAGCCCTGGAAACAAAGGGGTTCCCGGCATTCGGCTCTTCTGCAGGGAGTCCTGGAGTCTCAGAGGAGTGGGAGGAGCCTATTTTGGCGGGAAGAGCGGAGACGGAGACAGAGGCTGCTCTGAGGGAAGAGCCACCATGGGAGTGGTGGTCTTTGGGGTCCTCAGGGAGGGACTAGACTCCCTTCTCTGGGTCAGACACCGAATTGGGCCTCCTTCTGGTCCCCTCTCCTCCCTCAGGGGCCCCTTTCCGGCTTCTCTGTTGGGAGACCCCCAGGGGACCCTTTGAAGTCACTGAGGCCAATGAATTGGAGGATTCCCAGATCCCCACACTGGATCCCCTGTCAAGCCCTCGGCCTCCAAAAACCCTTCAGAATAATGATGGTATTTGGCTCAGGGCTACATTTGCAAAGGGAAAGAGTGGAATCCCTGGCTGGACAATCAGGTATATATTGAATATTACATAATCAGTAAAATTTTAACAAAAATACCAATATTTTATGAGCATTATTCCCACATTGTAATTTTTTGCTTCTTTCATAGAAAACATTGTATGCCACTCTCCCCCCTCCTACATATTTATCTGTTTCTTCATTTAGCTCTTCAATGTATATAAAATAGGGCATCATTTACATTGTGCAACAACTGTTTCCAATAATTTATTAACCTTTCAAATTGAGAAAGGAGGTTAATAATCAGGAAATATGTTTTTTAAAAGGTTATATTAAGATAAAAAGCAGAAATCATGCTACTAAGAGTTTCCTCTGAAAACATACCAATCAAATAGCATTGATATGGTTTATCAATGCTATTGTCCCATAATACAGCAAGCCAACTCCAAAGTATCCCTGTCAAGACCCTCCCCTCCCAATTCCACTTCTCCCCTCTCTTGGGGAAGCTTCCATGGGCTTCAGTTGTTACTTCTGCTGCTGCTTGCACTGATCTATCACCACACTGCCTTTTACCGCTGATCAGCTGTAGGGTGAAACGCCGCAGCAATAGTTTAAACAGTATTTAGCCTCTCTGCCACCATCGAGAGGATCGGAACCCGCTTTCAGGCAGCTTGGCCTCAATTGCCAATCTACCACCAGGAGTGGATCGGATCTAGGGGATCAGTTGGAAGGCTTCTCAATTTAAAGCTAAGGTGTCTTGGTTTTTTTCCCTCTTCTTTGTCAAGTGAGCCCTGATTTTTTCCTTCTCCCCGATCAGCTGGGACTCGGCTAGATTGGGGGCAGGGCCAGGCAGAGGTTGTATTTACCGGTTCTCCAAATTACTCAAAATTTCCACTACCGATTTGCAAGAACCAGGGAGAACCGGTAGCAACCCACCACTGCTCTGAGGGAAGAGCCACGGGGGGAGGGGGGAGATTGGGGTCCTCAGGTAAATGGAGACATTGCCTGGATGTCCCCACTATGACTCAGAGTGCAAACACTTAAAAGACCAAAAATATATTCCAAGTTGTAGAAAGAGGCAAAAGGCTTAAATTTAATGTCCCATGGATTATCTCCATAGGTGTACAATTACATAATTAGGAAGAGCCTTGGTGGCGCAGTAGAATAAAGCACCGTTAAGTAACACCAGCTGCCTGCAATTACTGCAAATCTCACCAGGCTCAAGGTTGACTCAGCCTTCCATCCTTTTGAGGTAGGTAAAATGAGGACCCGGTTTGTGGGGGCAATAAGCTGACTTTGTATAAAAAAGAACACTGCTTGTGGGGGACGAAAGCCCTACTAAGCAGATATATACAAAAATATGAAGGCTATTGCTTAACACATTGTAAGCTGCCCTGAGTCTCTGGAAAAGGGTGGCATATAAATCAAAGCAATGACTTTGTATAAAAAAGAACACTGCTTGGGGGGGACGAAAGCCCTACTAAGCAGATATATACAAAAATATGAAGGCTATTGCTTAACACATTGTAAGCTGCCCTGAGTCTCCGGAAGAGGGTGGCATATAAATCAAAGCAATAAATAAATAAATATTATGAAAATGCCAGGATTTTTTCAGGAGAAATGTTCCCACCTTTTAATTGCTTGCTTCTTTCGTAGAAAAATCTACCGTACTAATGTTTTCCCATTCCATGGTTTTCAAGACATCATTGTACAATGTGAAACTGAGTCAGATGTGAACTCATTCCACCCACTTCAACCATTTCAACCATTCTTCATATGTTTTAGTCCCCAGGCCTTTGGTCACCTTCGATTTTCAGTGGCTGGGATGGAGGGAGGGTGTGGCTGGTAGAAGGTGGGAGGCCTCGACCAACTAGTCATGGCCAGGTGTGTGGCCGGCTTGGCGCAGCTCCCTTTGGCTAATTTCTAATTTCTACCTCTATTGTGTAACCATTGATAACGCAAATCCCATGTTAAAAAACATTGTGTCTTCTTTGTCCTTTATCTTTAATGTAAACCTATCCATTTCTGTACAATCTAGTATTTTTCTAATTATATTTTGGTCTGTAGGAGTTTCCTCATTCTTCCAGTGTTGTGCAAATTCAATTCTCGCTGCTGTCAATATATGTAGTATTAAATATTTGTTCCCTTTGTCATATTTTTCTGATATTATACCTAACAAAAATATTTCTGACTTTAAATGTCTATCTTGCTTTAACTATGTGCTAACTATATGTTGCTTTAACTATGTATTTAACTCTAATTATGTGTGTATTATGTGTGTATTTTCATCCAATTTTTTTTTTGCCTTTCGGCATATTCACCACTTATGGTAATAAGAGCCCGGTTTACATTTCCTGATTACATTTCCAACATTTGGCGGACAGGTTTTTAAACATCTTGGCTATTCTTCCTGGTGGCAAATGCCACATTTGTTGTATTAATCTTTTATAGTTACCTTCTTTACTTGTTGTACATCTTCCTGTTAAGTATACTCCCAAATATTTAACTTTCTTGACTACCTGAATGTCTATCTTCTTTCTTTCTTTCTTCATTTTATAAAATTTGTATGCCGCCCTATCTCTAAGGACTCAGGGCGGCTCACAACGACAGTCGACCAAGCAACTGTTAAAAACAACGAATATACATAAAAAACAAAGAAAGTTTTTTTTTTAAAAAAAAAATTAAAATATACTACCCCATCAGTCCAGCCCTTTGTCCATTCATTTTTCTGTTAATCCGTAAGGGAAATAAATTGATTGCTGTCCACAGGATATTTTCCTGCCCATTGTGGGTTCTTTCTTGAGAAGGGTTCTC